TGTATTTTTGAGGAATAATTTTATTATTGAACAACAACAATCTTCTCAATGAACCCAAACAACTCATTAATATCAAAGCTGAATGATTTTGGAAGTAGTTTTTAGTTTTAGCTATTTTAGGGGGATATCTGTGTGTGCAGGTGACTATTAAGCCCCATTCCCACCTGTACCGGGTCGGCCCGGGCCGGGTAGCCCCAGTCGGCCCCAGCCTGGCCCGGTTGATTCCACACATCCTTGCCTTAAGCCCATGTGGGCTGATTCTACCCACCAATCAGAGGCTTGCTCTAATGGAAGGTGTGAATGGGCTGATTCTACCCACCAATCAGAGGCTTGCTCTAATGGAAGGTGTGAATTTGCTGTCAGCAGTGGGCGTGTTGGCCCTGGTCGGCCTGAAGCAGTACCCCTCGGGAAGAGGGCCGAGAATGAGCCTTGGTTGGCCCGGGAAAATTCCAGGCCACCCAGATATGTAAACAACCTATGCTACCCGGCCCGGGCCGACCCGGTACAGGTGGGAATGGGGCTCAACTGTGCATAATTATTAGGAAACTTAAAAAACAAATAAATACCCATTTCAATTATTTATTTTTACCAGTGAAACCAATATAACATCTCCACATTCCCAAATATACATTTCTGACATTCACAAACAATTCAAAAACCAATCAGCGACCAGTATAGCCACCTTTCTTTGCAAGGACACTCAAAAGCCTGCCATCCATGGACTCTGTCCGTGTTTTGATCTGTTCACCATCAACATTGCGTGCAGCAGCAACCACAGCCTCCCAGACACGGTTCAGAGAGGTGTACCGTTTTCCCTCCTTGTAAATCTCACATTTGATGATGGACCACAGGTTCTCAATGGGGTTCAGATCAGGTGAACAAGGAGGCCATGTCATTAGTTTTTCTTCTTTTATACCCTTTCTTGCCAGCCGCGCTGTGGAGTACTTGGACGCGTGTGATGGAGCATTGTCCTGCATGAAAATCATGTTTTTCTTGAAGGATGCAGACTTCTTCCTGTACCACTGCTTGAAGAAGGTGTCTTCCAGAAACTGGCAGTAGGACTGGGAGTTGAGCTGGACTCCATCCTCAACCCGAAAAGGCCCCACAAGCTCATCTTTGATGATACCAGCCCAAACCAGTACTCCACCTCCACCTTGCTGGCGTCTGAGTCGGACTGGAGCTGCTCCTCTCGTTAACTCTCATCGTGACGCCAGAGCTGGCTCTGTTGGCACTTATTAGTGCTTGGTTCTGTGGCTCAGGTTTAAAACCATCCTCTTCAACCACGCCCCAGCGCGTCGAGGGGGCACGCGCTGTGTGTGTGTGTGTGTGTGTGTGTGTGTGTGTGTGTGTAGGGATAAGTTGCAGATACAGGAAATGCAGACATGAATATTTCTGCATCGTCGCTGTAGTGCCCCCTCCAGCCTGGCGTCCCTTTGCGTTGCTAACACTGCATACCCTCTTTTTACACCACTGAGAGGACTCAGTGGTCTCCTTTAAAAAAGCAGCTGACGACCTATCTGTTCAGGCTTTGGTGCGACTTTTTTATCTCTTCTTCCTGACTAGCTTCTTCTTCTGGTGTTTCTGCCATTTGTGTGTTTTTCAGGCTCTTGTGTTTACTTTTTCATTTTGATACATAATTGTTGATCTTATTTTTTCATTCTTTTCTCCCATTTTTATCAACTTTTAAAAATATTTTTTTATTGTTCCTGGGAAGCACCTTGTGAATTTTATCTTGAGAGGCGCTATATAACAATGTCCCTTCCTCTTCACAGTAAGGAACCAATTAAAACAGCTTATTTTAGACATATAATTCCTAAAACAAACACTGCTAGAAAACCGGTGGATGTTTTACCACGTTTGGAGTGTGTAGAGGCAGTAGAGACCTGCATGGCAGCACAAAATGTGAGTTTAGCATTATAAGTCCCTCTTGAGAAGGGGACTTATAATGTAGAGACCTGCATAGTATTTGTTTTGGCAAATGACATTTCTAGATGAAATGCCTGCTTTGGTGATACTCAACTCTTCCAAGTCAAGATGGCTGTCATGCAGCCTGACTGAGTGAATGAATAATGGATGCTCTGGAGAACACTTTGGAATCCTGACGCAGAAAGGCGCTGCACCAGTGAAGGTCCTTTATCATTTTATTCCAAAGTGCTTTACACTACAGCGAAACATTCCCCCATTCACACACTGGAGGTGATGAGCTACATCATAGCCACAGCTGCCCTGGTGCACACACAGGCACCATCGGACCCTTCGACCACCACCAGCAGTCAAGGAGGGTTAAGTTGCCCAAGGACACGACTGATGGCGCCTGGGTTCGAACCCGCAACCCACAGACTACAGGGTGACCTCTTAACCTGAACCACTGTCGTCCCAAAAGTCCAACATAAATCTAATCCATCATTATCCTTATGAAACAGACCAGTGGGAATGAAATGTCAACATGTGTTCTTTTTCAAAAGCTATAGAGCTCCAGGAGTTGACGTCACTTCTCCCAGCATGCAACAGTTCAAATCGAAACGGCGCCATATTGGCAGGCAGAAGCCCGCAGCTGGACTTTTTGTTATTGTCAGAAAACTCAAACAGGAAATATGGTAGATTCCTGTTGTGCCCCAGGATGCAGAACAGACGCGGACGACATAAGGAATGAGCCATCTACAGGATTCCCCAAGATCCGGAGCGCCGCAAACGTTGGATCATTGTAATAAAACGCGCTAGTGACCGGGCTAAAATGAAGCTGTGGGATCCCGAGAGTAAAGGTTTTCGCTTATGCAGCGACCGCTTCATATCAGGTACTTAAACCAACATTTCCTCAACTGTGTGTGGTATTTATTTAAAATGCTTTTATTACGATTCTTAGTGGGCTTCCTAAACTTATTTTGGCGTGGCTTTTTCTGTCTTATTACTCATAGCAACAAGTAAACGTCACGTAAAACGTTGCCTCGTGAGTTCTGCGTGCTGCCGTTTACGTGTTTTATGATCACAGCAATTAACCGGCTAAGCTGCATTTCATCTTTAAGCAATGGTTGATCAATTGTCAGATCACACATAAAAAGCACTTTGGATTGCTATTATCTGTCTCACCGAGACAGATCCTGAGACGCTCCTGCCTGACATTTTTATTTTATTCACGGAAAAATTCATACCAGTGATTCCTCTTGGCGTTCAGTTTATACATTCAAACAGCACAGCACTCTATTTAAACTACTTACGTGCAGGGGCGGATTTAGGACTGAAGAAGATCCGGGGCTTAACACACGCGCGCGCGCACATGCACGCGCACACGCACTAGTCAACATCATATATATTTGTCTTGTACCACATAATTTTTAATCTGAAGCTACATATTAAGCATATTCAGGGCAGAGTATTGTTCCTGTTAGTGTTTAGTGTGAGATGATAGTAAATATTCCCTTTCTTTCTCCAACAACTTTACCTGATAAGCTAACTTTAGGCAAACCAGCAGCACAACAAATATTTTCTAATAAGACTCACAAACCTGAGTCAGCACCAGTCTCATCAAAGCTGGGGTTCTGTCGCCGTACTTTTGGTCTAAAAAACGTCCGTATGTCCATCTTAACTCATGCGTTTCAGGCAGAGAGTGCAGAAGAAGCCGGCTGCTGAAGGGCTTCTTCTTCAGTGGTGGAGGCTCAGGAAGGCTGTATACAAACTACTGCCAGCTGCTCCCTCTCTGTTGGACTTTGGTACTGCATGTTACTTCCACGATTTAGATCCGGAGCTTATCATGAAAGATCCGGGGCTTCAGCCCAAGTAGCCGGGCCTAACGCCGCCCCTGCTTACGTGTAAATCTATGTTATCTGTCCATCCATCCATTTTCATCCGCTTATCCAGAGTCGGGTCGCGGGAGCAGTAGCGTCGAGACGCCCAGACTTCCCTCTCCCCAGCCACTTGGGCCAGCTCCTCCGGGGGAATCCCAAGGCGTTCCCTGGCCAGGTCCGGTCTGACAGCTTCTGGCATTTTAAAAAGTATCCCAGGGGCACGGTAAGGGTCGGAGGTGTTTAGTCTATTTAATTTCTGACTATATAAAACGATTTCTTCGGTTTTAAAGTGTGAAGTAAACTCCGAAGTAAAATCCAAGCCGATCCCGTTCAATTTGTTTACCTTTGTTGCCTGCCAACATGGTGTCTACTCTCTGAGAGTCACGTGACATCCGGAGCTCTATTGTGACATTTTCATTGGTCTAGACCAGTGAACCTCAATTGGCAGTCCGCGGGCCACATCCGGCCTGCCAGACCTTTTCACTTGGACCCCCAACTCTTTGGGCTCTAACACCCGCTAGAAAAGTTTAGCAGCAAACTTCCTGTCCCAAATATCAATAATTGTTTATGTTCTCCAAACAAAACTAAAATAATAATCAAAACAGTTTAGATGGAAAACAAAGCCATTTTAAATATTAATAAATTAAGATACAATTATACTTGAACTTTATTTTAGAAGAACATCTGGCCCTCACGGTGTTTGCTGCAAAGATGTCCGAACCTTGAGCTGATTTAGTTGAGGACCCCTGGTCTAGACCATCAGTAATCACAACATCTATCAGTAGAAAGTAGAATGGCTGTCTACCTTACAGGACTAGGCCATTGTTGTCTAGAAAAGGTTTTTATTTTACAGGTTTTCATTCAGAGAGCTTAACATGCTGCTGAATGGTCAAATACGAATCTTTTCAGTATTAATGAACTCGTTCTTCGATGCCAAAAAGCAGCCATGACTGTGCAGGTTAGTGGGTGCACCTGACAGCTCCTGGAAGCACATTATCACCTCTTCATGTTAGCACAACTGGTGGAAACTCCAAGTCTAGGCATGTTGTAAGTATGTCTAAGGCTAAAAGTGTCCAATAAGGTCATGTGAAGCAGTTTGTGAGTTTTATAGCAACCCTAAAACCTGCAGCTTTGCTGAAAACAGTAATGTGCACAAACCATGTTCATTCTGACAGCCGCTTAAACAGCCAGAGCTTACCATCACTCTTCACAAGCACATCATTTTCATCCATGTTTATTGTAATAACACAGCATTAGAATGAAGGGGAGAAGCAGCAACCTGTCCATTACATTTCTGATTACACGGTACGACACAGTGATGCTGCACATGCTCTTCAATCCTGACTGTGGGATGATTTTGGGTCAAACCAGTGCAAGCCTAGCCGTTTCCCATTGTTGTTGGCTTTAGAGCGTCTGACCCGCATGCACCTCCTGACGCCTCTTTACATTCTCCTCGTTTTTACGATGTCATAGATTTTTTTACTTTTGTAAGTGTGCTGCAGCCTCTGCCGGGACTCCCTCGTACGAGGTTTTTCATTTCAACGGCCATTCCTGGTTACAGAAAAGTTCAATAAAAACAAATCCACACTTTTTACTTTGACTTTCTGTTTTTGTAACTTAAACAAGTATTTGCCATACTTGTCCTTACACAAAATAAATGGTGGTTAAAACCAGTTCGTCTTCAACAGCGTTCAGATACACAAAGAAGCCCCTGTTGAACATCAATTTGTATTTTGATACGATGAAGAACTTTGATGGAGCAGACACAGTTTAGGTCCTTTAGGCTTTAGTTTCAGTTTAAGCATCTCCGAATACACTTCATGTATCAAAGAGCAGATAAAGTAAGCTCCCTGCTCAAACACAGGGCAGCGCCCCCCGGTGGCCTACTTGTACCACTGTACTGGTGCAGGTTTGGGAACTTGATAGTTGAGGGTGTCCAGCTCTTCCCACGGCTCCAGCTTCGGACCAGGAATAGCAACCGTCTGAGAGGAAGAGGAGTACTTTTGTTAAGTCAAACTCTGGAAAACTCACATATGATCAAACATAAAAGCAACAGATTTCTGTTCAACATTAATGCAAGACGCCTCTGCTTGAACATCAACTACAACCTTGACCACAAAGAATCTGGAGGCCATGACAGATCTAACAGCACATTGTGGACGTTTAGATTCATCTAAAATTAATAAGGTAAGGCGGGTTACTTAATTAAATACATAAAACACACTGGTTGTATTTTCATGTTGGATCAGAAACACTGCCCGTTTCCATAGCAACGCTTTACTTTTCTATAGTGCACCAAAAGGAACTAGCAGATACCTTAATAATGGGGTCCTTGGCAGGTGCCCAGGACGGCACTATTTTTGCATGTAATCTCCATCTACCATAGGGGTTGATGAGGTGCCGTTCTAGGACCAAATACTCCAAGACGTCCTTCGGCTGCTCCTCGCTGCCCAACATCAGCCTCCCAAAGCGGTCATAAATGGCCAGAGTCTGCAAAGCAATCAGACGACAGAGGGGTTCCTTCAGCCTCCGATGGTTTCACTGAACTATGTAGCCACACCTGCTAACCCAATAGCCACTAAAGAGACCTGCTTAGGTCACCTAAGAGCTAACCTGTGTGTAATTGAGTCTAATTACAAATACACCTGTGAAGGCCTCAGTGGCGACACGTTGGACGGGGGGGTGATAGCCTTGTCAGGACTTTTACAGTCGCGTGGAGAATAACTGTAGGGGTTAACTGCCTGCTTGTACAGATGTTTCCAAAAGGTCCCTTCATGGAAGTAACAGCCATTCCCGAGCTGGAGGTGCAGAGGTCACGGAGGACATCCGATAGTTTGAGTGTGTTTGCTGCTGAGTTGATTGCAGCGCTTAATTTGTAAATGAAACGTTCCCGAAACGCAAATACTGCCGTCAAACCAAAGTCCACTACAGGGAAAGCAGATGCAGGAGCGTGCACAAGGGGACGGTTGGGGGGGGGGTCCGGTCCGGTTGACTTGCTGGAGTTTTTGACAATTAAAACTTGCGCCCACATTTTCTAAGTTAACACACATCTCTTTCAACAACGTAGTTTTTGCATCTTTACTGTTCCCCTGCTTCAGATCTACCGACCGCAGAAATAGCAGAGCGCCCTGGCCGCACCGGTGCGGTGACTTCAGGACAGGTGATCCGCTCCGCTCCGCAGCAGCAAAACGCATCAGGCACAAATAAAAGACAGAAACCATGAAAGGATGTGAGCCGACATAGACGATCGCGTGTTAACTTTGTTTTTGAGGTGGCGACACGTTGAGAATGTTACTGTGGCCGTGCTCAGGGCGCATCTGTCTGGAGTGTGTCATCGATCAGAGCTCTGCGCCTCTCAGCTCTAAATAATCCCGGAGAGTCCACATAAATAATGTAATACAAGTAGAACCATGATCGTTTTCGGGCTCCCCCCGGGTGTGGAAGCTGAGAGCTTCCAGGGCAGCCCGTCATCCTTCAGGGTGAGCCGGGATCCCTTTAGCTCACATGTAATTAGGACCCTACGTATGCGAGTTGCCGGAACCTAGCAGACAGTTCCCGGATCTTGTTCCGGCAAGATCCGGCTCAAATTAAGCCCTGGTTGTCTTTGGAGCGGGTGGAGGACAGTAGCGAGAGGAGACCGCTGTTGAGACTGTTGAACGTGTTTGTTAGTTATTAGCAGTCCAGTGAAGGATGATGTTGGTGGACTAGGGCTTTACGGCGGCGTCAGGTTTGAGTCTGGTAGATCCGTTTGGTCAAGTTGTGAGGAGGGAGAAGTTTGGGGGAGTGTAGGATTGTTCTAGAGGTGTAGTGCGAGTCTGACACAGGAGGTAGTAATGCAACTTTGAAGGAAGCAGGTCACCGTAAAGCACCACTGAAGAAGATGTCCTCAGTGGTTTGTTAGGAATTATGGAACAAACAGCATCATGAAGACCAAGAACTCAGCAGACAGGTCAGGGATGAAGTTGAAGATGTGTTTAAAGCAGGGTTGGGTTATAATGCTACAAGAACATCTAGCTACCAAGACATGGCCGTCCAACTAAACGGACAGACGAGCAAGGAGAGCTCTGGTCAGAGAAGCTTCCAAGAGGCCCATGGTCAGTCTGGAGGAGCTACAGAAATCCACAGCTCAGGTGGAACAACCTGTCCACAGGACAACTGTAAGACATGTCCACCACCAATATGGAGGAGTGGCCAGAAGAAAGCAGTTACTGACAGAAAGACAAAACGTCTCATTTGCAGGTCTCCAGCAGACATGTGGGAGGTGTTCTGGTCAGACCAGAGCAAAGGTGAACTTTTGGAACTAAATGCAAAGGAAAAGTAACACAACATCTCCACTGTGAAACATGGTGGTGGCAGTATCATGCTGTGGAGAAGCTTTTCTTCAACAGGGACAGGGATCTGGTCAGAGTTGATGGAAGATGGATGGAGCTGAATTCAGGACAATCCTGGAAGAACACCTGCTGGAGACTGCAAAGGACTTGAGACTGGGAAGGAGAGTCACCTTCCAGCAGGAGAATGACCTTAACTGGTCTTCCAGGATGTACTGGGAGACCTCTTCAAATGCTCCAGAACGCAGCGGCGCGTCTGGTCTTCAATCAGCCTAAAAGAGCATGTCACCCCTCTGTTCACTGAGCTCCACTGGCTACCGCTAGCAGCACGCATCAAATGGCTAACACTAGCATACAAAGTCCTGGATGGTACGGCTCCCATCTACCTGAATCCTCTTGTAAAGGCTTACATCGGCTGCTCTGGCCACACCACACGCAGGACAGTCTAGACTGGACCCGAGCCGACCTGTTCAGCTGACAGAGCTGCACATGTTGGTTATTTACCAGCTTCATTTATCCGTACGTAGCGCTGCTAGAGCCGATCACGGCCGTTGGGCTGCAGCGGTGGCTGAGGGGGAGAGAGAGACACGTCTGCTGCAGCAGAACGGAGTTCAGCGCCCAACGCTGGTTTTACTTCAGCGTCAGCTCGAGTGCAGTTTAGTAGACTTCAGTGGACTTCACATGGTTTGAATGTTTCTGATGAAACAAGCCGTAAAACACGTCATAGTTAGTGCGGGGTTTCCGTGTTCAGACGGCACAGAAGAGGTCCGGGCAGACAATGCAGGGAAAACTCTGCATGAATGTCTGTTATTTACATCTGAAAGCTCTTTTTACCTTCAGTCCTCCTAACACCGCGTAGAACACTGGCCCCCAAACCCAATGCACACCCCCACCTCCGACGGCCAACCGGGAGGTGTACTGTAGGAAGGCCAGCGGTGTGCGTGCACCTTGCTGTTATACTGCAGGCTGGTGTAATGAACCGCCAGCATCCCCAGGGTGGTACAGCTGCCTTAAAGCACATGAATGTTGCCATACACACACACCTTTTCATGTTTTTATTATCAAATGTACTGACATGGGAAAAATTATCACGATGAGTCAGAAATGTCGGTAAGGATAAACTTTAGATTTATTGCCCAGCCCTACTATACATTATTATATATTTGATAAAAACATGTCATCTATATTATGAATAATGTGTTGAACCTTGATTTGAAGAAAATTGTGAATTGAACTGAAATCACAATTCAATCGTTTCCTAGAATGGTTCGGCCGTAGCGAGAGCTACGATGGAACGGTTTCCATCGAACATCCGCGCGTTACAACGGCCCAGTCAGAGTCCAGGCCGAAACCCCAGGGAGACCTGCTGCTCAGGTGGTCTCGACTTGTTTTGCAGAGAACAACATTTCAGTACGAAGCTGGTAGAGTCTGGGTCTGCCACAGAAATCTCAAAAGCATTTCTGTTTGCAGTAGTAAGGCGTCACAATGACCTTTGGAAGGAACTGTGTGGGGAACATGCAGCAGCCTGCATCTCACCTGCTTGGAGTGCATGCGGACTGTCACCTGCCCGTACAAGTTGCCTTTGGTGACCATGTCTGGAGAGCGGGCGTGAACCACGCGGGGCGGCTCCAGGGACTCCACGAACCTCCAGCGGAGGGTCTTGTAGCGGTTCCCTTTGGTCATCTCCTGAACGCAGCACAAAGGAAGGGCGTGAAGACAAAGAGCCGAGGATCTGATGTAACCCATGACAACCGTTAGAGGGTGAGCTTACAGGGTAACACCTCTCTGTAACCAGGGCGTGGAGCTTCTCCTTGTTAAACCTGCAAAGCATGATGGGAAACGTGTCCGAACCAAGCTCGCACTCAGGAACTAGCCGACGGTTTTCATCCAGAATAAATGTGATCTGCACTCGTTTAAAGTAGGACTTGTTTCTAACTAGAACCAATCAGCACAGTGATGTACAGACGCTGACTCCGACTCAGCACCACCTGATGAGTCGGACTCGTCAGGCTTTTCATGACCGATGGAGGTTTTCCCAGCGGAGCTGAGCCCTTCATCAGCCACTGATCACTTCTAGACCACGTGGTTGCTTTAATGAGTGAGGAGAGGCAGCTGTTAGTTTGCTTACTGCACCAGGGCGTTGTGAGCATCTATAAAAATCTGCTGAGCATCTTCTGCAAAAGTCCTGGTTGTGAACGCCGAGTCGTACTCTTTGATTTTACGAATCCTGGAACAAGACAAGAGTCACTGAGTTTATTCATCGTCTGGAAAAGAAAAGCCTGGACACCTGAGCTAAGCTCTTACGCCAGCTGTGAGGCGGCGCTCTGCTTCATCTTTTCAGTCAGCTGTCTCAGACCATCTTTAGACAGAGCAGAGAGGCGAGCGTCTCCTTCTGGAGGGACATATGGGTCCAGGACTCCCGCTGGAGGACACAAAATGGACAAAACCAATTCCTCAGTTTGCACGCTCCACCCAACTAGTTCTTCTAGACTTTCAGTTCTACGTAACCTTAGCAATGACCGTCGGTGTTAACGCCTACACACCAGTTGAGGAACCATCAGCATGTCTCACCTGTGCACGCGATATTGATGGGCCTCTCCAGGTACTGCTGTCGGAAGACGATGCCTGCTGCTCGAGCCCTGGCCTCTGGGTTTTCTCCCTTCTTTCCCTTCAGGCCCACTGCAGGAGGGATGATGTACCTCTTCTTGGTCCGGACGGGCAGGAGGAGCGGGGCTGCCTGTCTCACATCCAGAGGCACCTCAGAGTTCTGACGGAGATCAGAGGACTTAGTGACGCATCAGAAAGACGTGAAAACGGATCAGTAAGAAGATGTTGTTTCTGGTTCTATATCAGCTCAAACACATTTAAATGTTATTTTCATCACATTTAAACTATTTTCCTCTTTATTTTTGACTTCTGACAGTAAAGCCATCAGAACTGAGGCCATGCAGTCTCACTGCGTCAGCTGTGACGTCCCTGATATTAAAACTTGATCAGAATCCATTTGAGTTTACGTTTTATCCCAATGACACGGAGATGGAAATGAAAGTGTAGAAGACAGAAAGAGAGGGCTACAGAAGTGAGGCTGCCCTACACCGGTCCCTCCGGACACCACCGGCAGTAAAGGAAGATTAGGCGTCTTGCCCAAAGACACTACGACAGCTACAAACAGGGCTTGAACCTGCAACCCCCCATTACGGGGCAGGCACTTTATATTCAGATTTCTGTGTATGATGATATTATTATTACCCTCAAGGTGTAGTAACATCATTTCCTCTCCCTTTAATTACTGCCTTGTTTCCTTTTCATCTACGGATTCCTGTTTGATGTATTACTGCTGATTATTCCACTGGAAACCTACTGATGGATTAAAGTTCATCCGAGTCTGAAACGTCCATCCATCCATTTTCTTCCGCTTATCCGGAGTCAGGTCGCGGGGGCAGCAGCCTAAGCCGAGAGTGACTCTTTCAAAATCTCTTCATAAGAGTGTCTAACCATGAGAAGCAGCATCTCAATCAGGATGAAGGTCTGCAGGTATGACGGGAGAAAACGTGTCTAAACCTTTGGTTTCATGTGGCAAAGCAGACCATCGAGCACCAGAGTGCAGGAGTGAGGTTTATAATGAAGCTTGGAGCTCTATGGTAGACTGTATCTACAGGGTGTAAACATTGTGAGGAGGTATGCACATACGTTACATCACCATAGTCCAATAATGGGATAAAGGTAGCCAAAACGACTCATTTGTAGCGGAAAAAGAAGCATGACTTGATTCTGAAGGAAAAAGCACGTTTTAAATCAGCTGCTGTGTGAGGCAGAAAGCATCAGACATCTTTGTATTTAATCCTAAACTCCTGCGTTACGGGTACTGGTGGAAGATTTGATCTACAGTTTGAAGAAAAACATAAATGGTCTTTAGAACTCGTGAAAAGAACACTAAGTTAACATTATTAGACGGATGCTTGAGCTGAGAGGAGTTGATACAAACGAGGCTGAAGGAGGAGAAGACAGATTCGCTTTAGTGGCTGTAAATAATAATAAACCAGAATAACGCGTTGCCTCGTTTTAGTTGCAGAGTTTTGATATTTCACCTAAATAAATCTAATTAGCTATAATCACGCAACTTTCTATTTTTGTTACAAAACGGTTTCTTTAGAGCTAGCATAGCATCGTGTCCCACTGGGTGACGCAACTTCCGGTAAAAATTGAATGTAGCAGCGCAGGCTCTTAAAAAACAAAAACAAACAACAGTTAAAAAATAAGCTCAATAAACAACAGAGTACCTTCCAACTTAGACAAGTTACGTTCCGAAGAGCCGCCACTGTCCTCCTCATGGACATCGCCATCTTGCTGTCAACCAAATTACTTCCGGTTGATGCTTTCAGAATAAAAGTTCCAGACTCAGGAAAATCTGGCTTTATTTCAGAAAGCCCGTGAAGGTTGAAGAGTGCAAGAAAACAGAAAATACATGTTGGCACTGATAAGAAATATTAACATTACACAGTAAAATTGTATCTGAAAATATTAACACTGATTCCAAAATAAATGTACTGCTAAACTACTACAGCTGCAGTATAAAAAAAGTATTTCACTAACAAACAAATTTTGACACTGAAGAACTAATAATTGACTTCAGGAAACATGGCAGAGTTCACTTACCTCTTACAATTAAAAGAAGGGAAGTGGAGAAAATCTCTAGTTTTAAGCTACTGAGGACATATGTCACTGATGACCTTACATGGTCAATTAATTCCCCTGCCCTTGTTACAAAGGCCCAACAGACTTTGCTTCCTGAGAACACCAAAGAAATGTGGGCTGGCAGCAAAGATATTGAAAGCTTTTTACCACTGCTGCACTGAGAGCATCCTGACATACTTTCTCACATCATGGTACACCAACTGTACTCAGGCAGATTGGAAGAGTCTCCAACGAGATATTAAAACAGCCCAAAGATAGTCGGACTGTTGCTGCCACCCCTGGAGGACATTTTTAGAACTCGCTGCCTACACAGAGCAACGTACGTCCTGGGAGATGTATCCCACTCCTGCAGCTGTTTTTTCTCTCTGTTACCAGCTGGACGGCGCTAACGTGCTGTCAAAGCACGTACTTCCACATTGAAAATCAGCTTTGTGTCTAGAGCTATAACGGAACTGAATCGGATGAAGTGAGCATCTAAGGATCTTAGAGTGGGAATGTTTGTGCAAACTTTTTTTTAGCAATTTTTGATTGTTTTTTTCATTAATTTTAATAGTATGAGTGTGCTTGAGTGAGGAATTAGAGGAATTTTATCATTCCCTTTTAAAACGTTTTTAGTATTTATTTTTCCTCATCATCCACGGAGCACAGCACAGTAAATTTTGTTGTACAAATAACAATGACAATAAAGGTGAATTGAACTGAAAAAAAAGAGACAAACATTGAGTGCCAGTGCCAGAAACCTGCGGTACTCAGAACGTTAAAAATAACACGTGGTCTAATAACTGTTCCTGGAAAGCAGCTCAGAGAAGTAACCATGTTTTGCTTCCTTAACAGCTCTCTGGTACTCCACAAGATAGCCTACTGTTTAGCTGTAATCCAGGAACAGCGGAGATGGTCCTTCCTCCACTTTCTCTCAGCTCTTCTGCGTTTACGTCGGAAGCCTAATTTATACTTCTGCGTCTGCGTTGGGACAGACGCACGCAACGCCATTATCCGTGCTTTCCAGGGGCGTGTCCAGGGAGTGGCCTGGGGTAGCACATGCCACCCTCGGAATCTGATTGGCCACCCCAGGTGCCACCACATTAATTTACCTTTAAATAGGCTTTTCATTGTCCACAAAAGGCTTGGGGGTAAAACAAAAGAAGCATAACCATTGGTGCCACCCATGCACAAAGTTGCGCCTCACCTGGGCCACCCCATTTTAAAAGATCTGGACACGCCACTGGTCCTTTCTCGGACAGACACGCGAGGACGGATGGAGTCGAGCTCTTTTCTAAACATCCGTTCGACGAGACGGATAAATGAAAGCTGTCATCAACAGCGCCACCATTGCTCCATCAAAAACATAAAGAGAGCCAAGGATATCTAGCGGCAAACACGGAGCAGCTTGAAGAATACCTCGCAGAAAAACTCTTAAAAATTGGGGATGTTCCCATCACCTTTTTTGCTCCTGATCTGATTCAGTCATTTGATTTTCAGTATCTGCCAATACGAGTCCCAAAACGTCCCCGTCCATGTCTCTCCATCGTGGAGCTGACGGAGATGTATAAATTAAGCCTGAGAACATGTACACCTTTGTTCATCCATAGTTCGTTAGTTAATTTCACAGATTACAGTCTCCATGGGGCAACCGAGTCCACATGCAGTCACACATGCAGCGCTGAAACACTGTAGAAGGTCATCAGGAGAAAAAGAGTCACTGTAATCTAACAAGCCTGATTTATGCTTCTCCGTCTGCGTCAGTGCGGAGACACGCAGCGCCATTATCCGTCCTTGCGTAGGGCTCCGGCAGGCACGCAAGTACGTACGGAGTCGAGCCCACTTCTTTAAACATCCGTCGAACGAGACGGATTACGCAAGCTTGTGATTGGTCAGGATGCTGCTGTTGTTTACAGCGCCGCCATGGCAAAGAGAGCCGAGGATAATTAGCGGCAGACACGGAGAAGCTTGAAGAATACCTCGCGAAAAAACTCTAAAAATATGAACGTTTAATTCTCCCATGACTGGAGGAGTGAAAAGATATGCAGCAAGCGTTTTATTTGTGGACGGAAATGACAGGAAACGTGGGTTTAGAGGTGGCGAGCGCATGAAGAGGTGGGAGAATGAGAGACAAATATGTCCGTGTTAAAAGTCTCTTATATACACAAAAAACACAACATAAACACACTATCTTGGACAGATACATGACAGGATACTACGGAACATCGCTACGCCCTCTGTTGTCCTGCCGGGGAATTGCTTTGCAACACTCTCCAGGAGACGGAGATGTATGAGAGCAAAACGCTTCCGTCAATCCGTGCGTGTCTGTCCCTCACGGAGCTGACGGAGAAGCATAAACCAGCATTGAACTCAGCGACGGACTCTTCAGGTTTTGTGGGAGTGATAGTGTGCATCATGTCCCTTTAAGAAGCTGTACCACCTTGCATGCAAAATTGCCTCAACGTACTAGCACCATCTAGTGGACAACCTTTGTTTCTGTGCAAACCTGCAGTTATCGTCCATTTCTCATTATTGAGGTGAAATCCTCAATATATTGTGATATTGATCATAGGCCATATTGCCCAGCCCTAGCACCAAGTAAGAGGTGTATTTTCAGTCTGTCAGAGACTGAGGAGCTGCAGCTGCATTCACCAACACTGGTAGCATGGATGCTAATGACTATAAACAGGAAAGGAGGGGGTGCTTCGACTGACGTGCTAATGCCGCAAAGTACAATGGGATTTTTAGTTTTTGAGGCAAAGGTCTAATAAATGTTTGATATATGATCTGCAGGTCAAATACAAACAGACTGCAGGACAGATTTGGCCTAGGGGCCTGAGTTGGACTCGTTTTTTAAAGCTTTCTCATTATTACCAGATATTAAGCATGCTATTTTGAGAAACTTTCCAATTTAATTAACTGTTATATATCGTTAATACATGAAGGTTTCCTGTTCAAGGGAGATTTATTTCAAATTGTAACAATAAAACTTTCTCGTTATTAGGAGATACTGATCTTTTATTTTTCCTCACACTTACAGTAATCTGCTTCCGCAGTAAAGCAACAGCTTCTAGCCTTCAGGTGATGAATAAATTTCAAAAAAGGAAAAATTCTAATAAAAAAATACATGATTTTTACTATTTGTGATAATTAAAAGGTACAAATATCAATTTACATTTCACAATGTCACAATATGATAAAATGCTATTATTTTGTTAATGTTGGGCCACAGCATGTTTTGTTAATGTGCCTTGTTGGCACATAAAATTGTTTTAGATCCATTCATTTGTATGTATTAGTATTTCTCACACACGTTCAGCACGCACGTTAAAACGCGATGACGTCACCCACCCTTAGTTGAACGCTGATGAAGTGAACTTGTTTGGGCTCTGGAAGAGGAGGGGAGAGTAGCCGAGGATCTTAGCTCATGTTCCTGCTTCTGAGCCGCACTGTCTCGTTGTCAGTCGTCCATAGAGTAACTTGCAGCTGTCCATCGACACCATCGAAGGCCATCTTGGTCAGCTCCGTGCTAATAAAACTTGCTAGAAAAATTTGTGTTTCACACAGTAGCGCAAGCGGCCAAAATACAGGAACCATGCCCGAAAGAAGGCCCTTTGTACGGTTACCGACTGATGTTTACCCCGTCAACTATGGTTTGTGTCTGAAGCCAGACCTGATCGACTTCACTTTCGAGGGCAAACTGGAAGCGCTGGTGGAGGTACGTTGTAACGGGGCCGAGCTCCATAATCTAAGAGGTTGTCTGCCTGCCTGGCTGGGATTTTGTTATGTAATCTGACTAGCTAACGTTACTAGCCAATGAAAAAGTGTCAGACACTTGCTCACAAGTTGATGTTGTTTGTGACATCACCATGTGGGAACGTTTGCCATACCCGTAACCTTCCTGAATAATCCCCACCAGTCAAGTGAAACCTGTGAATGTTATAAAAATATAAATCGGGATACGTACTTTCTGAGCAGCCGCGCGCTAAACGGCTAGCTCCACGGTGCCAGAGGTAGCGACAGACTGGTACTCACGTTAGCATAGCCTGCTGTGTGAACTCATGTAACTAACTAGCCGTGCTATCGACGTCTGGCAAAATGTATCCAGGTGTAGTTCGACTTGTGACACCGAAAGGTGATGTTGTCGCAGTTAGTTCGGCTGTTAGCGAGCTATCAGCGGGCGAAGCTAATGCGGACCAGTGTTTGCTAAATCATGGGTGGCCCCCTCCCACCCGCTGCCTCTCTCTAAACTTTTTCTCACGGTCTAATCTTGTTTTTATTCCTTTTTGGTATGCACCATATTAAAGTGCAGCCAATAACCGATGTTCAGAGGGGTTTCACAAGCATTTACATACTCCTGTAGACTTTTACATGGTGTTTTCCTCCCAGTAAACTAACCTAAAAGGGTTGTTGGGGTTGCCTTCAAAATAAACGTCACGTAGAATAACAATTGGCATAGAATTTCTATTAAGTAATGCTGAAGTTACAGTCCATAAGTCAGTAGAGGTGAATGATGTTGTTAACGCACCTGCCAGCACCTGTCAGGCTGTAAAACCAGGGTCAAACAGGTGCTCATAACTGTTTCCTGTTTATGGTCAAGGGCATCGTTTTGTATCTGTATATGTCACACAGTACCATAACATGGTTTAAACATCCTGATACGATTTACCATCCAACTGACCTATTGTTTTTAGTTATACATTAAAAACGGATATTAGGAAATCATTTTTATTGGAGAATAGAGCCCCGCCCACACCAGTTATGCGTACTTTACTATAGTCCTTTGTTTTGTATGAGTATTTACACTATGGCTTAGCTCCAGAACTTTGATTATTGGTCATTGGTGATGTTCATATTGTAACGTGATGTAAGTGGTTACTTTTAATAGATGATCATTAAGATGTGATATTCCATATAAATATGAATGATCAATATTATTGATCTTTTGATATTTGATCTAAGATGAAACCAGGTCTTTTTGGTAGTTCACAGAAATCACACCTTGGTAATAATGTGAGACAATGGCAAATATATAGTTTATAAAATCACTTTAATACTATATGTCCACTAATGATGTTACAGAACAAGTGATGATGAATGATGGTTGAAACAAGATGGCCGACACAATGAATGAGATGATTGAATGTTAGCTTAGATGTTATGTAGCAAATCCTGATGAAGTGTCGTGGAAAATGATGTCTGGGTTGTGAAATCAGTCGGTTTGGTTTAACAGACCATCCCACACGAGCTGTGCAGAATCTACGAACCTTTGTGGTGAAGGCTTCTGGTGATCCAGGCCGGAGGAGTCTGTACGGACGGGCTGCTGGTGGAGTTGACTTCTGTGGTATTCGCAGCACGTAGATCCACCTCGAATACAGAACCGCTGATCTGGGACACCCTCATGATTAATGCTGGTGGTCAGATAAAGTTTGCATCTAATGCAGCTTTGCAAAGAAGGTTGGACCTTGAAGGATGGTTCTTTATGCTTTACTGACCCAGTCGGCCGAACTGGACTGCTCGCTAGAACTCCCTTAGAGGAAGTGTCGACTCTTTTTAATAACTATTGTTTATTAATTTGGACAAATTGGAGCTTGACACGTTTAAAGTAGGCGGTTATCAAACACCTCATACACCACTCAAATACTTAGAGGAGTTATCTGTGAAGTAAATAGTTAAACATTCATAATATTAATCTGAATATACTGATAAACAAATCATTAAATTCAACAAATAGACTACTCTGGTGTCATTTAAGATCTGGCAGAATTACCATTTCAGGGTATCTGCGGGTCCTTAAAAAGTCTTCAATTTGCTTTTCCAAGTTTAAGGCCTTAAAAATCCTTAAAAATGACAAATAATCCTTAAATACAGTTTCCAAAGGTCTTAAATGACCAAAGACCCAATAAACAAAATCATTTTGTTTCTATTAAATTTAGTGAATTTCTAGTTAGCGTTCAGCATTTTTTGTGTATGATATTGGCGTAAGCGGAACCGTAAACATTCAGTTGGTTGTGAAAGGGGGCTATTTATAGATGAGCACATCTTGCGCCATGGTGAAGTGCAAGTTTGATGGTAACTGGATGGTTAATCCCACTTTTGCGATGTGGTTAGTACCGGTTCCAGGCAATAGCTGGAAATTATAGCTTAAATTTAATTCCAAAAGTTGCTTAAATTTGGTCAAAGTGGCCTTAAAAAAGGTCTTAAAAAGTCTTAAATTTGGCTCCCTTAAACCTGCAGATACCCTGCATTTATGCTGATTAATTCATTAATGTAAAGCATTGAATACATTATTAAAACACTTTAGATTTAAACACAGGTACCACAGAATATGACTGTAAATACATATGAGGTCATTTTATGAGCCAGAATAAGATTATGAAAGGATGAAGATTGTGTCCTCAGAGATGTCTTGTGATATGGATAATGCACACGTTAAGAGATATTAATAATCGACCTCCTGGTGTCATGTTGGCACAACCTGTAAAGGAAGTTAACCCACAACCAGTTGAAGAAACGCATGGCCTTGGCCACACTACGATGTCAAATGTCATTAGGGGAGAATTTAGAAGGAAAGCAGAAGTATTTTTGCAACGTTATAAATGATAAGATTATAAGGAAGGACACTTCTACACTTTTAAGGGTTTGTTTAAAATTTCACCAGAAACCTGAGCAGTGTTGGAAGCTGCCTGATATGATTGAGGTTGAACACTGTATGTACTGCATATCGTTGGTTTGGGCCATTTCAAATTCAAATTCTAAAGATTTCAGGGATGGGGTGTCGGATAACTCTGTTGGTCTGTCTTTCCTCCTGCCTGAGGTGGCTGTTGCTGATGTCTCGCTGAAGGATTTTTTCCATAAGCCTGATTGGTTGGTTCCCCCTGACCACTAGGTGCCCAAGCAATGGTGTGTGGGCGGACCTATTCGTGGCCCCTCCCACTCATTGGACAGGGCACTCCTTTCCAATCAGTGTGTTTACATAATAAAACCGCTTTTTAAATGCATGTTAACGTGTTAGTCTTAGTTTTGTCCACTCTCCTCCTGTCTTCTCTGCTCCTCTCCATGTCTTTCCCTCTGCTCACCTGCTACCTCCTCCACCTCGGGGGCTGCGAGTAGCTCTGGTTGCACCTCCTCCCCATCAAATTTCTCTGTGTCTAGAATCAAGCAGGGCGCTCTCCACTGCTGCGGGTATATTTTCAGTCCCATAGCTTTTTTTTCCATCTGCTCTCATTTTTTTTTAGGTTTGACAAAGCAATCCATTTTTAGCTTCAAGCTAGCTCCCGCGTGCTCGCGACACAGCGGCAGTGCTTTGAACACAATGGCGTAAGGCACAGAGACGTTCATGGGGCGTGGCATTGATTCTTGTGTCTATATTTTACGTCAAATTAATTAATTATTATTGTTCTGCATCAATAAAACATTTTAAAATCGTGGGGGTCAAGGTGTTTTTGGGAGGGTCTTCAGACCTCCCAAGACCCAGCCCAGCACCTCTGCAGGACATAACTTGCTTTTTATTGCGATTGAAGTCGTGCTTCTTAAGTTTTTTCAAAGCTGCTCCTAAAGGTGTCTGTCCTCCACAGTCAGGTGATCTGAGCTCCAGCTCTTAAGGAGAAAAGCGTTTGGAGCTCTGCATTGCTCCAGTTTATTATCTCCGCTTGTTCCATTAACAAAAGTCAAACAGCCCGTGTTTACTTTCATTTTCAATATTACAGCCGGCCGGAGCTCAGCAGTATTTCCCCACATGATCATGACAATGCCCCCTGTTGTGCCAAGGCGTACCATCCTGGTTTGCTCACATGGCGTGTCTTTTTAAAAAGGGCTGAAAAAAGACAGAAATTGATACCAATATTTTCCATTTAATTTGGTGTACCAGCCTCCTCTCTCAACAGGCTTCAGGTGGTACAGAATGCGGCAGCCAGGTTTCTGACGAGCACCTCTAGACGTGACCATATCACACCTGTACTGGCGCACCTCCACTGGCTACCCGTAAACTTCACAGTGAAGTTTAAAATTCTGATCTTTGTTTTTGAGGCCCTGAATGGTTTGGCACCAGATTACCCGTCTGACCTTGTGACTCGTTATGTGCCAAACCGGGCGTTGAGATCTGCTGATTGCTGCTTCACGTTCCCACGATGAAATGCAAAACGCGGAGTCAGCGTGCTTTTGTCCACGCTGCTCCGTCCCTCTGGGATGCTCTTCATCAGTGAGGCTGGCACCATCCCTCCCCCGTTTCAAGTCACTGCTTAAGGCCCACTTTTACGACCAGGCATTTTTAAACCCTTGACTTTTATTAATTATTTTGACTATGTGTTCTTTTACTGACTGTGATTTTACTGCTTTGTTGTGTACTTTTATAATTGATTGTGCTTTTGTTTTTATGTTGTGCTTTACTTTTTATCTGTACAGCACTTTGGTCGGCTGCCATGCCGTTTTTAAATGTGCTTTATAAATAAAGTTTGTATGGTATGGTAATATTAAATTTTAATGAACTGAATATTTTTATTTGCAGACTCATGGTCCTTAAGTCACTAAAAACATACAAAAATGAGAACAAAGGCACAATAATAGGAAGAAAAGAAAAAACTAGTGTTTCAGGAGGCAGTAAACCAATGTTTTCAAAGTACAGAAGTCTACCGTATAGCGCTGTTTTCGCTGTTAGTCAGCAGTGAGATTATTCTATTGTCAGATGTATTCAGTCGACAGATAAACGAGTACATAAAAATCCTTAAGACAGCATTCAGTGTGCTGATACCAACAGAGACAGCTCACAGTCCGTCTGGGCTTTTTAACAAGACTCTTAAGGCATCATTGAAAGCCACTTGTAGTCTCTGAATGCTGGCTTTTTTATAATTCCACTGTAAGTGAGCTGCGTACAGCGAAGTGCAGTATATGATTGAAACAAATTCACTTTTACGTCATTAGAACAAAAACCGAACCTCTGAGAAAGTAGGTTTGCTTGTGCATATAACACCCGGCTCTAACGGTAAATGTCCTCATCATCAGTCAAGCGATCTGTGATCACATGACCCAAATATTTTACTTTGTCTGTGACTTTCAGCATATGGTCAGACAGCTTAAAACCTGGAAATGTCATGCATTTCTCCTCTTTGGTTCGACAGATCAGAATAACACTTTTAGCCGGATTGCACTTCACATCATGTTGTTCAGCATAGACAGAGCACACCTTAATGAGATGCTGAACTTGGGCTAAACACCACTAAGTCATCAGCATACATTAGGTGATTTACTATTGCACTTCAAACCAAACAGCCAGTTCTGCACACATTTAACTGCTTGGAGAGGTCAGTCATGTAAAAATTAAACAGTACAGGTGCTAAGATGCTTCCTTGCCTGACTCTATTGCAAACATGAAATGGTGCAGATATACGGTTGACTGCTTACTTAGCAGCTTGTGAGTTAACCATGTTAGCTTAAACTCATGTGCTAGCATCTCAATATAGTACAGATTACTATCATGTACCAGACAATTAAAATAGTATCGCTCAGTTAATATAATATTATTACTAATGAGCATCTGTCAGCTGTCTCATACTCGTTAATATCCGTTCACCTAACAAAGTTTAGCTTAGAGAGACACATGTCATCTGGTTCTGGACTCATGTGGGCTTCTGTGAGCTGGTTCTGACCCAGACACCAGCTCAACTGGCCTGCTGAGCTGCAAGTCTCTTCTAGTGGTTGGTTCTGACCTGGTTCTGACGGTGATCTGAGCTCCAGAAATCCACATATAAATTTTTAAACCCCACCACGGCGGGTCTCCAGAGCCCAGCGCGGACCTCCCTGACCCGGTACCGACTGATGTGGGCTACAGAAGTCCGTCTTTTGCTGCACAAAACGCCGTCAGGCACGGAGATAGAGGTGTTGTTCCTCAGATCTGTAAACCCGTGGACTCGATGTCGAGACAGGCTGGAGTTGGTACAGCCTTCACACACTCTAGTTTATCAACATGAACACAGTCCAACACTAGTAAACACACACTGACTGGATCACATGACCTCTAGCCTACAACTAGCCACTCTCCACACTGAGCTGAGGAAGCCTAGCTTCTAACTCCCTTTGGTTACGTCAGAGGTTCACATTTAGAAACAAGAGAAAGGAACGTTTTACTAGAAAACTGCTGTTATGTGTTTTACAACCAAATATCCACAAAAGCATTTCTAATAGTATTTTTGGACAACATTTTATATGAATTAGAAAAAAAATGTAACCAGCAACCTGCTCTTTAAGTAATTAAGTGATTAATTGTAGACCGATAGTATCGGTTACATTGACGTCCCTACAAAATAATAATAAAGGTATTGAAATATAAATTCTCTAAAATTATCTGCTTGTTTAAATTATTAAACATTATTCATTCACTATTATTTAAGGATAAGTAATAAAAACTATAAAAAGGGTAAAAAAATTTTAAAACAAGATGAAAATCATCAATGCTCAAAAACTGATTTTAATTAGTTTATCAGTTTATCACAAGTATCATCTCGTATTTGACTTCTCGACAGGTAGTGTACTTCAGCCTGCGTCTTGTCTTGGAGTTGTTCAGCTGTGACGCACCAGCGGAGCGTCGGTGTTGGACGCCGCGCAGAGCGCTTTGTATTTTGCCCTTCAATGAAAAGTTTCCTTTCTTTTTTCTATTATAGTCTATTAAGTATCTTAATACTAGAGTCGATGCTTATTCCCAATGCAACCAGTCATAGGCAGAGACCCAGGCATGCTCCATCACCAAGCCCTTTGGAGGAAATGGTCCAGTAAAAAGGTAACAGTAGTTCACCAGCACGGTGATGTTTAGGCTTTTACAAGTCTGGCAAAGAAGACCCAACGGTCAATTGAACTGATTAAAAATCGAGTCTGGTGACACAACCAACTCTTTTTGTCATAAAGTAATGACATCAAATATCCCAAGGCTGCCTTTAAAATACATTTTCTACATTTTTTGTATCAGTAATTATTGATTTTTCTTTTCCTTTTCAATAGATAGGCTTTTTTTCCTCTATCGTCCAGCCCCAACCCCCCCGCTTTCCACCCAACCCTAAGCTGCCTAGTAACAGACTGGATGATTTGATGTATTTGTCTGCTGTTTTTAACTAGGGGGTTGTTTTTAGAGGCTGTTTCTTTAGTTGTCAGGGAACGTTTACGTGACGGACCTGTTGTCTGTGAACAAAGCGCCCACGTCTGTTTGTACCACGGTGCTACTCCAACCGGCAGAGAGGGGAGAGCAAGTCGGGAGGAGGAGGTTTGCCTTGGGTTCTGGAGCTTTTGACCAGATGTTCATTTGGCTTTTCCCAGAACGTTGGTGGTGCTGAACTACTGTGATTTAGAATTGAGTGATGATTTAAAAAAGCATAAAACGGACTTGTTTTTCACCATGAAACCACCACGCTGCATTAGCTGGCATACCAAGTTGTGTACGGCTATGTAGGTGCGTCACATTAGGAATTATGGTAGAAAAGATGCCAGCAATGGCTTCAAAACATGAGTTACTGTGTTTTTATGTTGGTTTGACGGTGTCCATTCTGTCTGGTGTGAAATCATTTTGTGAAACCATCAGATCGTGTGACTCTAGGGGGAGTCTGAAGAAAGGGTGTTGGACCTTATCATTGTTGTTTTTGAAAACGTAGCTTGCATGAATAAGTTTGTTCCAAGAACGCCTATCCTACCTTAAAGCTGTTGTGTGTCAATATTTACAGGTTACACAGTCTACCAACCAGATTGTGATGAACTGTGCTGACATTGACATCATCACAGCTTCCTTTGCACCAGAGGGAGGAGATGGTGAGCATCAGCCACCCTCAGCATGTCACTGTCATGATTAAAATGTTAACTTTGTTGTGTTTCATCTCATTGATTCTTGGCTTTTTACTAGAAATTAATGCCACTGGATTCAACTATCAGAACGAAGATGAAAAAGTCACCTTATCCTTTCCTACTGCTCTTCAGAAAGGTAGGGAAGGATGTAGCACGTCTCCTAATGGCGGGTTTCCTTCTTTGCTCATGACTCCACTGACAGTACTGCTGCTTGCTGCGTATCTCTACAGGCTCTGGCATGTTGAAGATCGACTTTGTTGGGGAGCTGAATGACAAAATGAAAGGATTTTATAGAAGTAAATATACTACTCCTGCTGGGGAGGTCCGCTATGCTGCAGTCACCCAGTTTGAGGTTAGTCCACACACAAACACACACACACGCACACACACACACACACAGACACACCCTCTGAGAAGATGGATGGAAGACAATCTTGCAATAATGAATAAAGAAACAAAAGACACAAAATGATAACAATGCTTTCATTGCGAAACTCATTTTTTGAACTACAAAACGTTACAGATTTTTCCTCTCCATCATATTTACTAACTGTTGCTTCACACTCGTCAGAACACTGCAGTCATTGGATGTCCCAGCGATGGTCAAGAGTACAGCGAGCTGGTGGAGCTCTCTGTGGCATGGTGTGGACAATCGCCTAACCGTGAATGTGGGGGGTCTTTTTACTACTCTGGCCTATAAAGCGCTGGGGGGAACCCTGGTCGTTGTTATTATACACGAGGCTTCCTGGTTTGGGATGAGCATCAAGCCGGAACCAAGAAGCAGGAGTCTGTCCCCAGATGTGGCTTAAAGCTTTGTAAGAAGGACCTCTATGAAGCTTGCCCCGTCCATCTTGGTATTGTCCGTGCCAGGAGACATTAACGGAACCGGACGTGTGGACGTCCCTCGATGCGTGAACAGAGGGTCACGTTTGTTCAGAAGGTTCTAGGAGAGGCTATTGTCTTTCAACAGAACCCTCTTTTCTCTGAGTCTACATACCCAACTTCACAGTCTCCGTCCCCACTTCCTGCTTGGGAGACCACATGAACAAATGGCGCTTACACATTAGCGCCGGCTCGGTCCCTTTTGGTCCCGGAAGGGACCGGATTTTGGTTTCACACACAGGTCAGATTTGCGTTTTCTGTTCTGAAGCGACTCTTTTTTTTTTTTTTTTGGACCTTCTCCCCAGTAGTCAAACTACGAGCAGAATTGCTAATGCTAAGCTAGCGGGTAGCATTCTCACGAGCAAGTGTGTGTCTGTCCGAATCCGTGGGAAGGAAGCTTGTAAGAGCACATTTTGAAGTCGATGATGTCACAGCGCAGCGACGAGTACTGTCCGAATTCCAAGAATATTCATTCTCGCGTCCTCAAATGCGTCCTCGCTCCGCCCACATTTCGAGGACGGGTCTGTTGTGTCCTCACAGAACAAGGCTATCCCAGCATGCTTTGTGCGCCGGCCGTGGATTTTTAACAGGAAGAGAAAATGGGGAGAGCTACGAAGTTTAAAACATAAGTTTGTTAAAAACTAGCCGTAGAAACCTAAAAAGCCGCTTCAGGTGTATGACGTCATCAACGACTGGTCGAAGTCGACTCGATTTTCATTACTTGACGGCCGACTTTAAAAAAAATTAAGTCATGCAGCCCCTAGTCCACCATAGATCGGGTCCAGCTCTAAACTACAAACCTGGACTAGATTGTTCTACAGTCACTACGTTTACATGCAGCCAATATCCGGGTTATGATCGGGTTAAGGTCGGTATTCGGGTTTCTGAGTTGATCAGAATAACCCGTTTACAAGCACAAATAGAGTTACCTCTAACTTGCATAACCCGATGTAAATGCAGACGTTGGGGTAGCGTCGGGACGTATGGACCACGTCCAGACGCAATATGCGTCATTTCCGGTTCTTCTTGTTCCGGTATCCGTGAAAACAACATGTTTCCCAGTTCGGAAGAGACAGCGACCGCGTTTGTTTGAGCTTTAGTGCTGGTATTGACCCACCAGCAGCTCTTACTGCGACTCGCCATGTTGCTTCCAACTTGTTGTTTACTTCCGGTGTTCTGGCGCATACAAGACGTCTCGCTACTCAAAAGACCAAGATTCCTTGCGAACAGAGCATGCACAGAACACACGCTTTGATGGGGATATCCCGGTATGCGTTTACACGACCAAACATTCGGGTTAGAAAAGGGTTACCCCAGGTGTAGTAACCGGGTTTTTAAAAACCCGGTTATGAGCATATCCGGGTTTTTGGCGATGTTTACATGGACCTGCGGAACCGGGTTATTGTGAATATTCGGGTTTTAAAAGGGTTATTGGCTGCATGTAAACGCACTGAGTAACAGTAAAATCCATAACAGACAGTTGGTATCGTGTGAAACCTTTAGTAGATCAGTGAAAGTCCAAAAAAGGCAACTTTCTTCTTTGATGTATTGTGAGTTAGGATTATCGTGTTAGCAGCATGTTTTTCAGTCCTGCAGGTTTATAAATGGTAGCTATGTTAATGCAACTGCAACTTTTGAGTTTTACTGTTTAATATAAAAATTAGGGCCAGGAATCGATTAGAATAAATTAACTAATTAATTGAAAATTTGAAAAAATTAATCGCAATTGATTATAATTTCTTTCCAGAAAAAGCAAGCAATAAACATGCAAAAATGTACAAGAGAGGTTCATTTTATTTAGAAAGTGCATCTCTTGTTGAAGTGTGTAAAATCACTGAATACTGTCTTTAACAGAGAAAACCTAAAATGAAATCCAGTTTCTGTTCAAAAATGTTGTTAGAAAAAGTCTTATTGTGTAAACAAAGAACAGGAAATAAATCTAGCACAGCTAGCTTACGGTTTTCAATGTAAATGTCATTTTCCACAGCATCAGTTGAGCAAGGATTGCCATCTCTCCAAAAAATAAATACGGGACCCCTCGCTGGCATGGCCCCCAAATGCTTTGATACGGCCCTGGGTGGGACGGAGTTTTGAAGATGATCTGAATTGTATGGAACATGTGAATATTATGAGCTTATAAATAATATTTACTTCACAAGGTTAAAACGTATCTACCTACATTTTCCTTTCCAAGCTCTTTGCTTTGTTTTCTTCTTATTATCCTGCCCTGTCAGTCTCTGGTCCTGCATCTGCCACAGGGAGATGCAGGACCTAGTTCTCCAGAAAAAACCGCTGCCTGGCCGCGGCTGTGATGCTCGGGTGATGAGCGCAGCAGCGATGCGCGTCAGCCATGAGTAAAAGACAGAAAGTACCAAAGCAGTTATGAACGATCATGTGTTAAACATATTTTGGTGGCGCCGCTTTGAGAATGTTACTGTTGGCCGCAGTAGATGCCGGTGGAGCACATGAGCGCTCTGCCTCGTTCGTCTTCTCCGCTCAGAAGAATCCTCGATGCTGAGAGTCCATAATGTGGGTGGAAACTTCACCTTTTGTCAGGCTCAGTAAATGATGGTTTAGCAGAATTGTCCAGGGGGAATATATGGAGACATTTTAGAGAGTGGTGGCTCCAGGTTGGAGAGATGGTCAAATCAATTGAGTCATTTACTTTTAACATGTTAAAATAACAAAATTAACGCTAATAATTAACACACTAATTTTCCCAGGCCTAATTAAAATACCTGACAGTTTGGGCTCTTTAAGAAGATGTTTCCAGCCAGTGAATGGGGACATGACAGCGTGGAAAGCAACAGAGTTACAAAAGTCTGCAAAACAAGCAGCACATGTGCTACTCAAAACATTTTGATAAGGTTGGCAGGTCTGAAGGAGGGATGTACCTACTGTTTACCATTGGTGGGGGGGGGGGGGGGGGGGGGTCTCCTGTGAGCTAATGGACCATTCCCATCTGTACCGGACCGGGTAGCGTAGGTTGTTTACATATCTGGGTGGCCTGGTATTTTTCCGGGCCAACCAAGGCTCATTCTCAGCCCTCTTCTCGAGGGGGTCTGCTTCAGGCCGACCAGGGCCAACACACCCACTGCTGACAGCAAATTCACACCTTCCATTAGAGCAAGCCTCTGATTGGTGGGTAGAATCAGCCCACATGGGCTTAAGGCAAGGATGTGTGGAATCAACCGGGCCAGGCTGGGGCCGACTGGGGCTACCCGGCCCGGGCCGACCCGGTACAGCTGGGAATGGCCCACATTACTATTGTAATTTGACGACGACCGGCAACAGCTCCAGAGTTGTTTGCAGTAACCACATTTTACCACAGGATGCCATTTTTTCTTCATTTCTACATGATGCACCTTTAAAACAATTAGGAAGGAAAAAATGAATAGCTTTTGATGTTATGGTGGTATGATGTCATCACCTGTCAAGTCTAAATATATAATGAATGATGCACTGAACCGTGATTAGAAGAAAACCGTGAATCGAACTGAAATCGTAATCTCTGCCAGAAAAATGATCAGAACTCAATCTTTTGTTGAAATCGTTCAGCCTTAGTAAAATAAAGATGTTTGAATGTTGAATTAAATTCAGTGTTTGAAAGTAGTTAGCTAAGGAATAGCTCAAAATGGCCATGGCTGCACCTAAAATATATTTTCTATCATTTTTAGATAATTTTCTATATTTACTGATTAATATGAATATTTTTTTATCGATATGCTTTTTCCCTATATCGTCCAGCCCCACTGTAGGGTCAGTCAGAGTCTGTCAGAGGGGCCAGGGTGACCTCTTTTCACCATCTTCTCTTCCATGCAGCGAGGGCACTGGACATAGTGGCCCACTCCTTCTTCTGCATAGAAAGCTTTCTACACTCAGAGCTGGCCGTGCAAAAGAACCCCCTGCCCGTGTTCCTGGATTTAATACCAGAGTTGACATTTTCCTGGAACCAACGGCTGTCCACATGCACCATTGTGCTCGGCTTTACCAAATACGTGAACCTTAGCTGGGCTGGTCAGTCTTCCGTGGGGGTGTAACAGTACATGTAGTCATATTTGGATTTTTCAGTAGGGAATGTGTGGCTTGGCCCAGACGCATACCGAATTCCCACTCTTGACATATAACTATCTCCCTTTAACCACAAGTGGAAGTGTCATATGTAACAGTGTGAGCGTCGCGTATGACTCACCCGGGAGTCTGGGGATCGAATCCCGCCCGGGCCCTCATTTCTCAACCTTGCCACACATACGCGGTCGACATAGGCGGGTAAAGGTACCACATCTGGATACTTTGACTGTGAAGACCAGAAGAGGATAGCAATGGAAGTAGATGATCTTACCATCTGTCTGTACATTTGTCCATTAATCACGACGGTGCTCAACAGAAGTTTCAACTACCCTGGTGACAAAGCAACGGCCACCATACGAGATACCACCACCTCTAGCCAAAAGATATTCTCTACAAGTGGAGGCATCGTGACTGCCAGCAGATCTGTGCTTTCAGCCGTCAGTGTGGACAGATTAGTCATTTTGTACAAACATGAAGGATGAATGAATGAATAAGGCTACAAGCTGGAACTCTTAATGTTGCATTTATAGTAATACAGAAATGTATTTCTTAAAGATGGGAACATTTTTATTTCTTCTGTTCTTTCAGTTGACAAAGATATCACTGAAGTAGAAGTTTCGTAAACAGAAAACTGTTATATTTGTACTCCCTCGGTGTATGAAGTGTGCTGTATGAATAAAGCTGCCTTGCCTATTCTCTGGAGGTTTGGGAGTCACCACACAACCCTAATAACCTCCAGAGATATTTTGGAAGATGATGTTTGGCCTACTTTAAATATATTTGTGTGTACTTCTCTTCTCAGGCCACAGACGCCCGTAGAGCTTTTCCTTGCTGGGACGAGCCAGCTATCAAAGCCACCTTTGACATCACTCTGATCGTTCCCAAGGACCGGGTAGCCTTGTCTAACATGGTACGTGTCAGTCATTTCCTCCTAGGTGTGCCTAGGAACTCCAGGTTGACCTGATTCAATTCAAGTTTATTTATATAGCCCCAAATCACGACAAGAGTCGTCTCAAGGCACTTCACATGATAAACATTCCAATACAGGTCAGTTCATTAAGCCAATCAGAAAAGAGTTTCCTACATAAGGAACCCAGCAAACTAGGGCTGCTCAATCGAATTTTAATCACAATTACGATCTGAGTTTTGAACGATTATACAAACAAAACAAGCCGATTATTTGCTCCTCCCACTTGCGCTGCCCTGAGTTGCAAATGAAGCACTCCTCCCACAGTGTTGCCAAGTTGGCGACTTTGACACTATTTCTAGCAGCTTTTCAGACCCCCTTCTTGACTTTTTAAATCTTTAAAGTACCTAGCAAACACCTCAGAAACATCTCTGGTAACCCTTAGCTACAGTGGGGCAAAAAAGTATTTAGTCAGCCACCGATTGTGCAAGTTCTCCCACTTGAAATGATGACAGAGGTCAGTATTCTACATCATAGGTACACTTCAACTGTGAGAGACAGAATATGAAAAAAAATCCATGAATTCACATGGCAGGATTTTTAAAGAATTTATTGTAAATCAGGGTGGAAAATAAGTATTTGGTCACTTCAAACAAGGAAAATCTCTGGCTCTCACAGACCTGTAACGTCTTCTTTAAGAAGCTTTTCTGTCCTCCACTCATTACCTGTATTAATGGCACCTGTTTGAACTCATTATCTGTATAAAAGACACCTGTCCACAGCCTCAAACAGTCAGACTCCAAACTCCACTAAGGCCAAGACCAAAGAGCTTTCGAAGGACACCAGGAAAAGAATTGTAGACCTGCACCAGACTGGGAAGAGTGGATCTACAAGAGGCAAGCAGCTTGGTGTGAAAAAATCAACTGTGGGATTAATTATCAGAAAATGGAAGACATACAAGACCACTGATAATCTCCCTCGATCTGGGGCTCCACGCAAGATCTCATCCCGTGGGGTCAAAATGATCATAAGAACGGTGAGCAAGAATCCCAGAAGCACACGGGGGGACCTGGTGAATGACCTGCAGAGAGCTGGGACCACAGTAACAAAGGTCACCATTAGGGCTGCAACAACGAATCGATAAATTCGATGAAAATCGATTACTAAAAGCGTTGGCAACGAATTGCGTCATCGATTCGTTGTGTCGCACAACTCTTCCAAAAGCGCCCCCCCCCCCCCTTCCCGCCCGCCGTTGCGCGCAGACCAGAGCAAGTCAGATCAGCGCGAGGGAGAGCCGCAGATCAGCGCGAGGGAGAGCCGGTAGATCAGCGCGACGGAGAGCCGGTAGATCAGCGCGACGGAGAGCCGGTAGATCAGCGCGACGGAGAGCCGGTAGATCAGCGCGACGGAGAGCCGGTAGATCAGCGCGACGGAGAGCCGCAGATCAGCGCGAGGGAGAGCCTGCAGACTTGCGCTGCTGCGAACCGGTTCCGCTTTGTTGCGCAGCGATCCAGGCAGCTGCTTCCAGCGCACGGTCCATTCTCAAAGTGGCGCAACCAAAAAACTATAATTAGCACACGATTGTTCTTGTCTGCACATGTTCTCTATTTTCTGTCTTATTTGTGCCTGAAGCTCGCTACTGCGGAGCTCATCACCTGTGCTGTGGTGATGTCACCTCACACAGCATCGAAAACGCGCTCTGCGCTTTGTGGTCAGGAGATCCCTTTGATCTGCTCAAAAGTAACTGGTGAGGTGAAAAAGTAAAAGTAAGAATCCAGGCAACAGATTTTCTGGAGAATTATGAGGAGATGCAGGAAGATGAGAGACAGACAGGACAGGAAAATAGTTCAATAAAAACAAGAAAACAAAACAAAGTGTTGAAAAGTAAAATGTAGGCAGATTCATATACACCTTTTTACCAGTAAAAAACAATAAGTTCTACACATGTCTTAATTATACATCTGATACAATTCAGATCACCTTCAAAACTCAGTCACACACCCAGGGCCGTTTCAAGACATTTTGGGGGCCAAGGCAAAATGCCCCCCCCCCCCCCCCCCATAACTGGGCTCCCCAGAAGCCTCTGTGTAATTCATACCCTCTCCAGGAGTGTTAGTTATACAGTGTTTGTAAAAGCCCCTCAGACATTACTGACATGTTCTAATATTATCAGATGAAAAACTAAATTATCAGACATGCTGTCTCATCTGCTTCTTTTCTAAACTTGTAAAAAGTAACAAAACCATTTGAAAGCCACTATTTGTGGATTCTCTGAAAGTTTTCATGGAGTGTGTGACAACTTATTTTATCATTGATCCTATCGTCTAATCTCACAGCTGAAACAAGCATCCTTAATAATCTGTGCACAGGAAGCTTACCGATGCTGTAGTAAAACAAAAGGTATAATAATTTATTATTAATAAAACCTTGTTGCAGCACTAAAGCATAAAAATGAGATTTTGCATTAAATATGCAAAATATTTACATATGAATTGTTTTAGAGCCCTTTTATTGGCAGAATCTGATATTAATTTAGTTCTTACAAAAAATGGGTCCCAACGTGGTTTGTGTGGCGTTGCCATAGTGTGACGTCATAGGCACAGATCCCCTGTCCTCTTGTTTGGAAATGGAAATATGGTCACCCTACATTAAACAAACTGTCCACCCGGGCTTTTGCGCTGCACAGAGACGCTTCGCTGCCTATGACTGAACGTCAGTTGAGAGTCAGTCTCATGCAGACTGACCAATGAAGAGAGGGCCTCAAGTTAAGACCCTCTCCTCATTGGTCAGTCCACACGAGGTGGGTCAAAGGTTACTCTGGGCGGGTTACGTGTTGTCAGGCATTCAAGTATTGAGTATATTTACTGCATATTACAGTAAAATATTCTGTATGTGACCACATTATGGTGATCCTCGGGTCGTGATGATGGAGCCCTTGAATATTGTTGCCCAGGGTACAACAAAGTGTTAATCTGGCCCTGGTTCCGCCGTCACATTCCCGCAGAAACTGGTTGATTCCACCGGGGCCAGACTACTAGCATGTGGTTTTACAACCACAATGTCCTCGGAAGCAAAAACACTTTTAAAAGGGAGGGAGGAGTCCTAACTGTTGCTGCAGGCGTGCTGTGTGAGAGTGCAGTTATATACTGGTTAATATATTTTTGGGTTCAGTTGCTTTCATGTGGCCTAATGTGAGTCTATTTGGGATCATTGGAATGATCAGCAGCATTTCTTGATGTGACTTTATGGCAGTTGCTCAGGGCATCATCGCAAGGAGGATGGCATTCATTTACTTTTGTTTTATTTGGTATTTTTTCAGTCATTTTTGGAAATAATGATCAATTTTGATTAATTCACAGCCTATGTTTAATTACATTTAAAATAAATGTCAACAGATGAGATCAAACAAAACAGATGAGAATTGCCCTTAAGCTGTTTAACTTGGACCAAGCATTTTAGGTCACAGATAGATGTAGCTTAGGGTCTCTGTCTATACACCTTATAAGACAATTTAGGTGATGGCATGTTGTTTTTCTGCTATTGAACTGTTTTCTAATAATGTTGTGTTAAATAAAGTGAAGGAAGGAGAGAAATAACGTTTCCCTAGCAGTTTTTAAAAATTTCCCCATGTAATCCGATTAATCGATTAATCGTGTCGAGACCCCATCCGATTAATCGATTATCCAAATAATCGTTTGTTGCAGCCCTAGTCACCATCAGTAACACACTACAACGGCAGGGAATCAAATCCTGCAGTGCCAGACGTGTTCCGCTGCTGAAGCCAGTGCATGTCCAGGCCCGTCTGAAGTTTGCCAGAGAGCACATGGATGATACAGCAGAGGATTGGGAGAATGTCATGTGGTCAGATGAAACCAAAGTAGAACTTCTTGGTATAAACTCAACTCGTCGTGTTTGGAGGAAGAAGAATACTGAGTTGCATCCCAAGAACACCATACCTACTGTGAAGCATGGGAGTGGGGACATCATGCTTTGGGGCTGTTTTTCTGCTAAGGGGACAGGACGACTGATCCGTGTTAAGGACAGAATGAATGGGGCCATGTATCGTGAGATTCTGAGCCAAAACCTCCTTCCATCAGTGAGAGCTTTGAAGATGAAATGTGGCTGGGTCTTCCAACACGACAATGATCCCAAACACACCGCCCGGGCAACAAAGGAGTGGCTCCGTAAGAAGCACTTGAAAGTCTTGGAGTGGCCTAGCCAGTCTGCAGACCTCAACCCCATAGAAAATCTGTAGAGGGAGTTGAAAGTCCGTGTTGCTCGGCGACAGCCCCAAAACATCACTGCTCTCGAAGATCTGCATGGAGGAATGGGCCAAAATACCAGCTACTGTGTGTGCAAACCTGGTAAAGACCTATAGTAATCGTTTGACCTCTGTTATTGCCAACAAAGGTTATGTTACAAAGTATTGAGTTGAATTTTTGTTATTGACCAAATACTTATTTTCCACCCTGATTTACAAATAAATTCTTTTAAAATCCTAACATGTGAATTCATGGATTTTTTTTCACATTCTGTCTCTCACAGTTGAAGTGTACCTATGATGTAAATTACTGACCTCTGTCATCATTTTAAGTGGGAGAACTTGCACAATCGGTGGCTGACTAAATACTTTTTTGCCCCACTGTATACTCGCCAAGCAAACACTTTTCAGATGGTCACATCTTCTGCTTTTCCTGTCAGCCGCTGCCATTTTCCGCTGCCGCATCAAATTCAAATAGCTAACACTAGCATACAAAGTCCGAGACAGTACGGCTCCCATCTACCTGAATCCTCTTGCAAAGGCTTACGTCTCGGCCCGGCCGCTCCGGTCTTCACAGGATGGTCGGCTAGCAGTGCCTACACCATGCTCAGGACAATCCAGACTCTTCTCATGCATCGTTCCACAAATGTGGAATGACCTTCCAAGCACTACCAGAACAGGGGCTTCCTTTTCTATTTTCAAGAAACTCCTGAAGACCCTGCTCTTCAGAGAGCATCTTCTTAACTAGCACCTTGTCTGCACCCGTCCCCCCTCTCTACTGTCCACTCCTTGTTCCCTCCTCTCCATGACTGATGTCAATTTGTTGTTGTTGTTGTTGTTGTTGTTGTTGTTGTTGTTAGCCTCAAGGGCAAAATGCCGATTATCACTTGTAAGTCGCTTTGGACAAAAGCGTCTGCTAAATACATAAACATAAACATTTTCTCCCTTCAGACATAACTTTTACTGGCATAAACATCAGAGGGTCTTCGCTCATTTATATCAGAGGAGAAACAGCCGGCTGCTACAACTTCAGGACAACCAGAGTCCCAAAAAGAAAAACACCATTTGAAGTCACGGACGACAAAAGACGTTTGGACATAGGAAACGACAACTGGTGTTTAGCTCTCTCTCTTTTACTTTAGCAATGTGGGTTTGGTTCCTGCGGTCGCGGAAGCATGGAAGATACCCGAGGGGTAGTCTGGCAATGAGTTTGTGTTCACAATCTGTCAAATCTATTTTGCTGATTTGCTACAGCAGCTTTAAACGGGAGTGTTTCCTCTCCCCTGTCGCTACATGCATGCTTGGTCTGAGGGATTCCTGTGAAGTCACTTCTATGAGTCAGTGACTCGATGCAATCAGTTGGGTTTCCTTAGAGATGGAAAACTTTTAACTAATTGGAATAGTGAACTGGACCTAGTGCACTGACTAGTAGGTTTGATAGTTCCTGGGGTCTCTGTGGTTCCTGTGCATCAACTCATCCTCCGCTTTCTCTCCAGAATGTCATCGATAAAAAGCCGTACCCAGAGGATGAAAACCTTGTAGAAGTAAAGTTTGCCCCCACACCCATCATGTCCACCTACCTTGTAGCTTTTGTCATCGGTGAGTACCACCACGTGGAGAGCCAGTCCTCAGACGGTGTAACGGTACGCGTCTACACGCCAGTGGGAAAGGCGGAACAAGGGAAGTTTGCGTTGGAGGTGAGTGCGTTGGCCAAACACTCTTCTGTCTACACTAGTGGGATTTAATCTGACCTTTTAAAACAGTCATACCTTCCGGCCTTTACATCCTCACACAGGTATACTGCGCTTCCCTCTGTTTAAATGACACAAGTTTGATCCATCTTCTTAATGCAGGTTGCAACTAAGACCTTACCTTTTTACAAAGACTACTTCAGTGTTCCGTACCCGTTGCCTAAAATTGACCTCATAGCTATTGCAGATTTCGCTGCTGGTGAGTAACTCCATTAAATTTCACAATGGAAATAAGATTTAAACTTGTGGGATTAAAAAGACTTTTTCTCTTATTCAGGTGCCATGGAAAACTGGGGCCTTGTAACCTACAGGTCAGGATGAATTGTTCTAAAACCACACATTTAAGATTTCCTGCTGTTAATTATAATCCCTGTGAGGGGCGACTGGCCAGTCCATCTGAGCCTGGGTGTTGCACACGGACCGTCTCGCTGCCGTGTGTTGTCCCTGAGAGGGGGGCGGAGTGTCTCTTAGGCGTGACACTGGAATTTCAGCCATGGCGCAGCGCCACGCCACGCCTGAGCCTATGTAGGAGAAACACTGGCTCTAAAGCCAGCTGTGTGCTTTTATTAAGGTGTTTAAAAGGTGGAGTTTTATAGGTTAAGTAGTTAGTTAACATTAGTATTTTTTGCTGTACTTTACCCCTTCTTTCCACCAGACAAGTGAGCACCATGAAACATAAAGGAATCGTTTAACCTGCAAGCTCTCTTCCAACCATGAGCATTTCAGGTGCTAAACGGAAGCCAAAGAGTTCCACGGAGCTGGTAGCCTAGTGAACTAGACCAAATTCTTGCTTTGCAAAGTTTGCAACCCTAACCCTAAATAATACATACATAATAATAATAATATAATACATAATAATAATATAATACAATATACATAATAATAATATAATACATAAAGTTTGCAACCCTAACCCTAAATAATACATACATAATAATAATAATATAATACATAATAATAATATAATATAATACAATATACATAATAATAATATAATATACATAATAATAATATAATGCATAAAGTTTGCAACCCTAACCCTAAATAATACATTTATTTAGTCTGGCTTGCCAGGCTACGGAGCTGGTCCTGTGAGGTCACAAAATCATGGGAGAATTCCAAAACAAGGCGAGATTTCAAAAATTCACATGATGATAAGCAAGGAGAAACCGGTTGCATGTATCCATAAAGATTTGTGGATTATGTTCTGTTTACCTCGGCTATGGAGGTTTGACAGGAAATGGTTGTGCATTTTTACTAGTTGAAAAATTGGACATCTGCATGTGACTTTTATTCTGAAAGTTTCCGAAGGTTTTAGGCTGCTTTTTTGCTGACTTCCTGTCTGGCCTGATCTGAACTGTTGAGTTTGATGCCTTCTGGAAGTGTAGCTAGGGGAAAAAAAAGACTCAAAATGTAAGCAATGCAGATTCCAGTTGCTCATGACACAGTATGATCGCATGAAAGGTGAGCTCCGGCACCAACCGCACCTTTCCCCTGACTCGAGAGCGGTATTTGGGATAAACTGGCAGATTTAGATAATAAAATTAGTGGAGATAAATCTAAGAATGGAGGATACGGATTACGAAGCATGCCTGGCTGTGAAATGGAGATAAAAGATTTGGCTAACATGGAAATCCCTACTGTGGGACAAGATGGCACCCGGGAGGATGTAAAGCAGCAGATGGATGAATTCAGAAAAGAAATGAACGAAAAGCTATGTGAGAGAGTGGGCCGAGTAGAGGAGGTGGAGGACCGGCTGCAGCAAGTCGAGGACAACATGGCTGACTCAGATCATTGGGACATTCGTGTAAAGGATACAGCTGATGGAAAACCAGCGAGAGCTGTGGGGAGAAGGTGTTAGACATGGAGAGCCGTGCCAGATGCAGAAACATCCAGATATATGGGGTCCTAGAAGATTTGGAGGACTCAACTATGACTTGATTTTTATTGAAAATCCTATCAAGGACCAATTAGGGTAGAGCAGAGGAAAAGACTCAAATAATGGATGCATCGGGATGCGGACGTAAACGATTCTGCATCGTAGAAGAGCACCCCATAATCGATTATAGTGGAATGTAGTTTTGTTTTTAACGGCGGCACCAGCGCAGCGTCCACACCTGTCAGAGTGAGCGTCCGCCACATTTACCAAGTGGCAAATATTTAGGAGTTTGTGATTATATCGGTAAAAGAATAAACTCCGGTGCCCTGGGAGATCTTTCAATTAATATTTTCACTGATGCAAATAATTCTGGGAGCATCAAAATGTTGATAAGTAAATTGTTTCATTCAGCTTAAGGGGACTACAACAACGTACTTACAACAAAAATGGGAGAAAGAAATGGACAGATTACGGATGAACAGTGGACAAGGATTCAGGAAATACAGCCTACGTCGACTAATTCCAACATTTGAAAAACTTGCTGGAACAACGTTGTACGTTTTTTCATAGCGCCTAAACGAAAGTCTAAATTCAGCCCCAATTCCCCGCGGTGCTGGAGGGACTGCCGGGAAGTACGGGCGGATCGTGGACGTATATTCTGGTCCTGCCCTGCTATGAAGGCCTTTGGTTGGAAAAATCAAAACTAATCTTCAAAGCTTTGGGATTCTAAGTGACCTGTACTATGAGTCAGGTACTATTACGTCAATGTACCTAAGGTGTTAAACTGAAGACTTCGCACCAGATGATTTGTATCTCCTGAAGTTTCTTTTGGCATCGGCAAAGAAGGCCATTAAAGATTTGTTGGCTTTACAGAGACCCTCCCACCGTAAGCCATTTTGTGTCCATAGTGGAAAACATCAAACTGATGGAAAGCGTGACTTTCACCCTGTGTCTACTGGGCGAACTGGGACAGAGATGGAGAATGGTCTGACTTTTGCAAGTGCTGGCAGCATTCTTTACAACGTGGAACCTGAGAAGTTGACATGTATATGTGTTTTATCTGGTTGTTGACGTACTGCTACTGGCATTCCCATGACCACACAACAAGTAGTTTTGTTATACAAATATGTTATTAAATAAAAAGTAAATAAAAAAACAAGTAAGCATGCACAAAACATGACACTCCATCCACGATAACGACGGAAATTTGCCACAAAGTACATTTTGTGGCCGTTTCGCAATGCTTTTACGTCTGGTGGAAAGTAGGGCTAGGTAGTTCTAGTCAGGATTCTTCACAAAGTTTTGTAAATGCAGCTCATCTCCAGCCGGTGTTGACCCTGCAGCTGTTTTTCAGGGAGACCGCACTTCTGATTGACCCGAAGAACTCCTGCTCCTCGTCCAAGCAGTGGGTGGCGCTAGTGGTTGGACACGAACTGGCCCACCAGTGGTTTGGAAACTTGGTCACCATGGTAATATTCCACAACACTGACCAGTCTTTTTTTATAACACACATGCACACCTAATGAAAGCTCTGGGACTACAGGCAGCAGAAGTTACAAAGGGTTCCCACGTGTCCTGGAAAATCTGGAAAATGATAGACCAATATTTCCAGTCATAGAAAATGGGGGGGAAAAGGTTAAATGTCCTGGAAGCGTCTGAGTTGTCATGGAAAACCGTTTCCCTCCATGTGGATGAATGCATGAATGTTTTCAGCTGCCTTCCACGGTTAACACTGGGCTGCAGCGCTGGTCTGCTTCCATTTCTGCATCTAGCCGGCACAGCGCCCCACGTGACCCTACCAACCAATCAAACGGCTTATTCCCTTACAACAGTTCTGCTTCCCAGTGTTTCCATCCATCTTTGGTGCTAGATCTATTGATTTCTCAGACCCACGTGAGGATTTATTCATCCAAAGAGGAGTCCAAACTAGCAACTTTAAGTTCCAGAGTGCTGCTGCATCGCAGTATATGGAGGGGTAGATCTTCCTCCCTCTCTCTGTTGGGTGGCAGAGGAGCAGCAGAGAGCTGTGCCTTTGGTTTTAGTGGAGCCGTAGTGAGCAGGACCACGGCTAACGGGTAGCCTTACCGGGCCACGTTCCACTCAGTATTTCATACTTGTTCTGTTGTCCGACAGCGGAAACTAAAACGTGTGAATGAGAAAAAGGTCATGAATTCAGCTCTATCACAATACTGGGTATGTGCACAGAGAGCGGAGCCCCACTGTTCATGCTGCTTTAGCTAGGTACGCAGACCAGAGCCCAGAGAAGACTGGCATGTTCCCTAGGTAACCTAAATAAACTGAATCCAGCATGGCTACACTCATAAATACAATCATTTTAAGTGGTAACCGCAAATGTATCGTAGTAACAGACTCTAGCTAGCATTAAATAAAACTTCTCTCTGAGATGGAAATACATATTTCTCAAGCTCAGGATGATTGTGGGGCGAGCGAGATATTAGACTCGTGTTAGCAGCCTGGGTAAAAGTACAACATGGAAGGTACAACTGTAGAAAATTACACTTCTCCACATCCTGGGAGATACTACACATACCGGAATTTGACTCTAGTTTCTCTGTTTGACTTCAGATCCACCAGTGGGCTAAATGACTTTACATCTGAACACATCTAGCTTTACAAAATGTAAACCTCTAACCAGTTAAGATAAGTCAAAATAATCCTGAGTCAAAAACACGAAACTCATCAGTGTATGCCGTTGTGCATACCAGATGTCGTGTGCCTTGGTGCGAGCAGAAGCTATTCATTACAAGTTCTATAATAGTTCATGTTTTCTAATGTTGGGGCTGGTTGTGAAGAAGACTCTTAAACTGATACCAGCACGTAAAGCAGCAGCGTACGAACTAAAGGAGAGAACAGCTTCTGTTTTAGTCCTGTTGCCCGGCCAGTAGAGGAGAGCAGCTGGCTTTGTGACAGACGACTACCGTTGCACAACTGCTATGTGGATCTAGCGTATCGGTACAACATCATATCTGCTTCTCCGTATCCTGGTAAGATGGTACTGTCGGCACATCGCCCAGTCCTAGTGGAGATAACTAGAGTCGTAGTGTAGCTGCTGAAAAAGTCTTAAATGTCCTGGAAGATCATTTAAAAATGTTGCATGTTACATTTCACAACTTTAACAAACATTTATAACCTTTAACACCAGAACTCCCAGTTTCTACCTTCACTAGAGTTCCCAGTAACGGGCAATTTGACGGCTGTCCTTTTGGCCATTTAATGCAGGCAGATGATGATGTCGTGGAGCAAAAGTCTGCTTTTAATTGACTCTTTATGGATGTGTGAACCTAATAAAATGGTACGAAAATCTCATTTAAATCCAAGCCTTCAAAAGAAGTTTGCTGGGTGAGCGACACGGCTCATTTCTTTGCTGGCATGTCGGCGATCTCAGCTTAGCTGCTTCCTGCTGACCAGTTTTCCTCTCTCTGCCTTAAGCAGCATCATTTCTAATGCTCATTTCACTGAGAACTTTCTTCTAAAAGCCATTTTAGCAGCTATTTTAAATGGAGTTTGAGTGGAGAGTCAACGCACAAGCTGGAAAGTTGGTTGCTTAGCAACGGTGACACATTCCGTCATTCGCGGGAAAACGTTTTTAAGCCATCAAGCTGACTGCTTTTGAGAGACGAAGACAAAAACAACTACGTTTCCTTTTTTATGCATTGTTTTTAGGATTTTATGACGCAAATATAAAGGACACAAAAATAGGAAAAGTCCGGAAGCAGGGTAATGTGAGATCCATGGAACTACAGCTACTACCTATCGAAACTGGGAAACGGTCAACAGGACAGCCCTGGGAGTTCTAGTGTTCAGTTGTGGGCGTGCAGGCTGAGAGTCGGGCGATGGTATTTTTGTAGCTTTATTGTTTTAATGTTGGTTTCTTTTCCGGTTTTCTCTGTGAAATGTTACGAGGCTGTAAAGCTGTTTTTCCACAGGAATGGTGGACCCACCTGTGGCTCAACGAGGGGTTTGCATCTTGGATCGAGTATCTATGTGTTGACCACTGCTTCCCAGAATATGACATCTGGACTCAGTTTGTCTCAGCAGACTACACCCGTGCTCTGGACCTGGACGCTCTGGACAGTAGTCATCCCATAGAGGTGAGACGGACAGGATTTTCTTTCACAAACATAACAGGATGTGTTCATTAAGGCAGGGTTTCCCAACCGTTTTTGACTTGTGGACCCCCCCCCTGAGCCTTTTTCTCATACCCCCTTAGTCGTTGATGATTCCCCAAAAGTAGAACGTACTGCTGATTATTCAGATCTCAACTCTGAACCACATCTCACTTCCTGTCTGACTCAGGTGACTTTTTTAACTTTAACAATCCTCATGCAGGCTCCAGAAGAAATGAACTCCATGTGTAAAGTTTCTGGAGCTCTGCTTCCCCACCACAGCTGGTGTAGACGCTCTGATGGGACTCAGTGATTTCTGATCTATGCAAAACTGGACCGTATTCATTCTGCACTCGGTGTGAACAAGGCTTCACGTGCAGCTGCAACCCTGCTCTGGTTTTCCATCAGTATTCAACCCTGCTCATAGCGCCCCCTGTTCTAAAGGTTTTCAGTGTTTCCCTGCTGCCACACAACTGACCTAAACGAACTGTTAACCGGCTTCTGCAGCACTTGCTGCCATCTTGAAAAGGCAATTCTGCAGCCGCCCTGCAGAGAAAACTTATTTTGGCCATTTGTATCTGCAATTTCTTTCTTTCGGTCACTACCTAAAGCTCGTGACCGTAGGAGAGGGTAGGAAAGCTCTCTTCACCACGACAGATTGGTGCAACGCCCGCATCACTGCAGACGCAGCGCCAATCTGCCTCTTGTGTTGATTTGTAATTATCTTCTTTTTCTTAACACAGTGAAGTAATTAGATGTTGCTTTACCTTCGGCTAACATGTTTTGGCCAGAACTTCCGCCTTCGTCAGAGCCGCCAGCTGTTTGTGGTGTCACTTCCGTTCATGTGTGGGCAGCAGAGGACGATGCTGCCCGCATCCTTCATGCTGAAAAAGAATAAGAAACAAGAAGATAATTGCCAATCCGTCTGTTGATCTCACGCTCCAGTTTCCCCTCACTCGTGAACAAGACCCCGAGATACTTCAACTCCTCCACTTGGGGCAGGACTTAATCGCTTACCCGGAGAAGGCATTCTACCCTTTTCCGACTCAAGACCGTGGTCTTGTATTCAGAGGAGCTGATTCTCATCCCAGCCGCTTCACACTCTGATGCGAACCGCTCCAGCGAAAGCTGGTGGTCCCCGTCTGATGAAGACAACAGGACCACATCATCTGCTAAAAGCTGAGACCTGATCCTCAGGCCACCAAAACGGATCCCCTCCACACCTTGGCTGCACCTAGAAATCCTGTCATACAGAGACCTAATGGCCCGTATCAAAGGCCTGGTACCCCATACTCCCCGAGTACCCCTCGTTGTCCTCCACATTTGACCCATCCCTGTGGGGAGTGGGGAGCTGCGGCTGTGGCCGCGCTCAGAGACTATTTGGTGGTTTAACCCCCCAATCCAACCCCTTAAAGCTGTCATGCAGGGAGGAATTGGGTCCAATTTTTAGTCCTTGGTGTGACCCGACCGGGATTTGAACCCTGATCTCCTAGTCCCAGTGTGGAAGACATGTCGTTGGGATTGAGGAGATCTTCAGTAGTAAGTACTCCGCCCACCGATCCACAACATCCTGACTCAAGGGCAGCAGCACATGTCCTCACTGTAAGCAGTGTTGGTAGTTACCTTCTGGGTAATGAAAAATAAATGTTTCCGCGTATCACTTGTGTTGCGCTTGCAGACCACGAGGGGCACGCGTACCCCTGATTGGGAATCACTGCATTGAGGTGTTTAGAGCTGAAGCACCGTTGAGCCTGACTGGGCTGCTGTGTGTGTGTGTGTGTGGGGGGGGGGGGGGGGGGGGGGGAAGCTGATCCCACTGACATATTTAGCTTGAGAGAGGTCAACAATAATAACAACAGTAATAACTAGGACTGCAAGCAGTTATCAGCGGCGGTTTCCAAGCCAACCAGGTAAAGTCTCCCACCCGGCTCCATCCCTGCCCTCGTCATTCCTCACGTGGCCCCGCCCCTCCCACACATTCTGAGTTAAACGCTCAGGAAAACTTTTCCATGTGTAAATCTTTCATTAAGCAAATAGGTATGGCTAACATCTCAGATAAATATGTAAGTTTGCCCCCTCACATATACTAATGTGCCACCAACAGGACGTTAATATCACCAACCATTCCCACTGGATTAAGGTGTGTCCATATAAATGGTCCATCCTGTAGTTAGGCAGAAATGGGCGTGGCTAATACGACATATTTGCAAAATCAAGTTTTTGAGTGTGAGACTTCTGGTTTGGGAGTTATTAGCCAAACCGCATGGACCTTTGCATTAGTGCCTTCCAGGTGTTTCTGGGTATGAATTTTGAAATCTGAGTGGCGGTAGGGACTTTCTATCTGGCTGCCATGTTTGATTTTTCCTGATTTTTCACTTTAGTGGAGCCCTTCGGGCTTGGAACCCTAATAATAGATCTTGCATGTTGATGATGTGACTCCCAACAGCAGTTGCACTAACACTGGCCTGATGTTACCTGCTTCAGGTGGATGTTGGCCATCCATCAGAAGTAGATGAAATCTTTGACGCCATCTCCTACAGCAAAGGAGCATCTGTGATCCGGATGCTGCACAACTACATAGGAGATGAGGTCAGTGGTCCAGCAGGCAGCGAGCATTTCTTCCATGTTCAGATGTGGGTCTGTCTGTTTTCACCTCCTGTTGTGTCTGTGCAGGATTTTAGGAAAGGAATGAATGCTTACCTTTTAAAGTTCCAACATAAAAATGCATCAACAGGTAGATCATTCACAACACATTGTTGAAGCCGATGAGCAGATTAGTTTTCACCTGGTCATCCAGATTATGGGCCTTTCTCCTAAATCTGGTGTTTTTACAGAGGACCTGTGGAGCTGTCTGGAGCAGGCCAGTGGGAAGCCCATCGCTGCAGTCATGGGCTCCTGGACCAAGCAGATGGGTTTCCCTATAATAGCAGTGGACGAGGAGCAGGTGAGCTCTCAGTTTGAACCCAGAACACGGGCTGTCGGTCTGTGCCACGCTGAAAGGTACAACCAAACAGAGCAGGCTCATCTAGAACTAAGGGTGCCGTAACCAGTAACCAGTGCAGGTGCACTTTGCCTGAATGATAGAAACTATCATCTGACAGTCGTATGTAGAGATGCACTAATTGTAAGTGGCCTGTATTTGGATAGCGCCGCCTTGGCGATCTACAACCCCCTAAGGTGCTTCACAACACAGTCAGTCATTCACCCATTCCCATGGGGATGAGCTACAATGTAGCCACAGCTGCCCTGGGGCGCACTACAGAGGCGAGGCTGCCGAGCACAGGCGCCACCGGTCCCTCCGACCACCACCAGCGGGCAAGGTGGGTTAAGTGTCTTGCCCAAGGACACAACAGCAGCATTCTCTAGAGCTACTGCTGCCAGCATCAGGTTAGGGGCAGCAGTTCATTATTTCTACTCGGAAGATGAAGTTTCTGAGTATGGAATTAACTGGAATAAACCGGGGGAAACAATAGTCAGAGTCGCGCCGGTAATATTTAACTATTCGTTTATTTATGTACTTTGTCTTTAACTAAAGCATTTTGGGCTGATTGTTGCTCTTTATGACCCAAGCTCTAACTTTATTTTTTATTTTCGAGCAAACAAGTCAGAAAATTCACAGAATTTGAGAAGTTCCTTAATGTAAAAATAATGAAGTGTTTTGCACTCTGGAAATTAATTTGAGGTACATCTTTGCTTCCTATCTCAGCCTGGTTCTTCCCCCGGTAGATTAATAATTCACCTTTTATGAAAACCACTCCAACAGATTTTCCTCATGCTATCAAAAAAAAATCTATACATATATATATATATATATATATGTATATGTATATGTATAGATATATATATAGATTATATAGATATATATATATGATATAGATAGACAGATAGATATAGATATATGTATAGATGATATAGATATATGGATATAGATAAAGATATATGTATAGATGATATAGATATAGATATATAGATATAGATATATGTATAGATAGATAAAGATATATGTATAGATGATATAGATATAGATATATAGATATAGATATATGTATAGATAGATAAAGATATATGTATAGATGATATAGATATAGATATATAGATATAGATATATGTATAGATAGATAAAGATATATGTATAGATGATATAGATATATAGATATAGATATATGTATAGATAGATAAAGATATATGTATAGATGATATAGATATATAGATATAGATATATAGATATAGATATATAGATATAGATATATGTATAGATAGATAAAGATATATGTATAGATGATATAGATATATAGATATAGATATATGTATAGATAGATAAAGATATATGTATAGATGATATAGATATATAGATATAGATATATGTATAGATAGATAAAGATATATGTATAGATGATATAGATATAGATATATAGATATAGATATATGTATAGATAGATAAAGATATATGTATAGATAGATAAAGATATATGTATAGATGATATAGATATATAGATATAGATATATGTATAGATAGATAAAGATATATGTATAGATGATATAGATATATAGATATAGATATATAGATATAGATATATAGATATAGATATATGTATAGATAGATAAAGATATATGTATAGATGATATAGATATATAGATATAGATATATGTATAGATAGATAAAGATATATGTATAGATGATATAGATATATAGATATAGATATATAGATATAGATATATGTATAGATATATAGATATATGTATAGATGATTAGATATATAAATATAGATATAGATATATGTATAGATGATATAGATATATATGTATAGATGATATAGATATATAGATGTATGATATAGATATATAGATATAGATATATGTATAGATAGATATAAAAACGGGCTTTCCCAACACTGTCATCCCTAGTTGTGAGTTTCTGTCTTCATGAACATGTTTACAGCAAGGTGATGATCGTGTCCTGAAGATATCTCAGAAGAAATTCTGTGCCAGTGGACTCCATGATGGTGAGTTCATGTCAGTGAGCTCTCCGATGATTCACACTTCCTTAGATTTGGCTGTGAAAAGCTGTTCATGTGTAACAGGTGAGGATTGTCCGAGCTGGATGGTCCCCATTAGCATTTGTACTAGCAACGATCCCACATGCACCAAGCTGAAGTTGCTGCTGGACAAGCCCGAGACCTCGGTAACTGTGAGAGGCGTCGGTCCGGACCAGTGGATCAAGGTCGGGTCTCACTCTTCTTCTCTGGTTTTGTTGATAATGGGTGCAGAAACTACATCAAGCACCTCCACACAAAGTGTTTTCCCATGAAGTCTTCAGCAGAAGAAGCTGAGCAAAACATTTAGAGCAGTCCTAGGTAGGACTTGATGATAGATGTAGAAAAAGTGAGCATGTTGTTTATGTAGTACTCATCACAGACAGAGAATCACAAAAACAACTAAACAAATCCTAATGATCCTAAAACAGAAATAAATTACAATCAGAAAAACAAAGTAAAATATGAAACCAATGAAAGATAACAAATTCTAATTAAAGTGTCGGTGTTTCATGTGCGCTTCAGTTGACCAGCAGCAATAACTGGGAGCGTTTATACTGGTTTACATGTCAGTTAGAAAGCTGAATTACTAAATGAAGTTTGTTCCACTCCGGTACAGCAGGTGGCGAAGTGCCTGTTTGTGTCGGTTCTCTCAGGTTAGCTGATGGCAACACGAATGCTGGTGGGAGTAAAGCAGGTGGAGTTGAAGCAGGATATGCACAATGACCAAAGAATGGACAAGAATGCTGCAGCACAGCTTATTGACCCTTTGCACCGACGTCACCTAATCATGTGGGTCGACCATGCTGGACGGCAAAAGCGTGTAAACAGTGAGCGACACGATTACTAAACAAAGGGAAAAGCAGAGCCTGAAGTTGTTTTTGCGATCAAAACAAAAACAAAACTGCTCCAGCGGTCCTTCAACTAGTTCATGCCCAGTTCAGTTATCAGAAGAGGTAGCGCATCTAGCGGGGGCTCATAGAGAGCGCTATGCTAACTAGCTTACCAACGTTAGCTTACGGTCTCTCTGCAGCTGTTCACCGATGTAAACGTGTAGCTGACTTTGCCTAAATTCACCCCTCTGGATTTATAACTTTATGTTATAAACAGCGTTTCACTTCACACCAAAGCTGATTGTTAGAAAGTCCAGATCCCTGCCGGCTTCTGTTGCTGGTGGTGTTACCGGGTCCAGCTGCTGCTCTCACACCGGAATGAGAAGCTCTCTGAATGCCGACGCTCATATACATAAATAAATAACGTAATTTTAACACACGTAATCATCCATCGGAGCTTTAATATTGTTAATAATTATCTCGCTTTACACTACAGTGGACGGCGCACAGCCTCCGTGGTGAAATACCCGTCCATCAGGATTTATCCCTGTCTCTGTCTTCCTCGTGAAATAAATGAACGTTAATCTTACCCGCTAAAACCATGTTCGCTGCTAATCCGAGGGCTGCTAGTCCGCTTGATTGATCGCTGCAGTTCATCTCCGTCCTCAGTCTCCATCAAAGTTATTATAAAAACAAAACGAGTTGAGTTCACATCCTTGTCTCTCAGTGCAGCCGACCACGCAGCAAGCTAAAACCATTTTACTGTCAAATCAACTCAATAAAAGCCATAAAAGGCTACAAACTGGCTTGTTTTGACTAGCTTCACTGGAGTTTCTACGGGTGTAAACAGTCTTTTTGCCATCCATCATGGCGAAGGGGACAGTCACATGAGCGGCGTCACGTGCGAAGGGTCAATAGGGAGCCTAAGCCACGCCCATCTACTTCCGCATCACGGGTACCCGGAAGAACGAGAAAATTAATGCAAGTCAAAGGGGCTAAAAACGCTTTTCTAATTCCACTTGTGATGTTCCGTGGATTTCACATATGAGGTCCATGAGTTTTATAAACACATTTTGATACCAAGAACGTGCTTATTTTCAAATGGGGGGAAACGCTATCTTAGGTGTTGTGTGAAAATAAGTCCAGGACTACAAATGCGCTTCACCAAAGTGACGTCATCGAACCAGACACGGAGGAAACTGAGGGAAAATGGCCGTAAGTTTAGCAAACTTCCCACAGAACGAAAGAACCGCCATGAATCTGGTCATGTGGAGAGAAGCAGCTACGCTAGGGGGAGGAGCTTATGTGGTGATGTCACATATGTGACGTGCTGATTTCTAGTTTGTAGTCATGCTAATTATGAACTTTTTCAAGCTGATAAATCTTAAAGTGCGTGACTGGCGTGGTCGAAACACCCATCATCACTTTTCATTTAAACTGCAGTACAACACGTGTGCTGCAGGACGTAAGGCACAGCAGGCTAGAAAATCGCGTTGCTAGCCCCGTTCAGGGACCCATGAGCCGACTGGAAGGGGAGGAGACTTAGGCTCCCTATTTGGTACTTTACTGTGTGGTGATGACATCATCAGTAAACCGCTTCTGTGATCTTGTCACTGGTGGAAGAGCCCAGCTGGTCAGGGCTTGGCTAAGATGGCTACAGACGTTAGCCGAAACCAGTCAGCAGAAAGGCTCTTATGTACTCTGTATAGCGAAGAAGCCGTCCCTGGCAGACTTGGGCCTTCATTCAGCAACAAGGTCAATGAGGTTTGAGTTCTGCTGCTGCACGTCGACCTTGCTGTTGATCATCGGCAGCTTGAGCTGTGTCGTCTCTGACAGGTTTTCATGTAGAAATTAGAAACGTTGCAATGGCCGCTGAGAAATGTTTGTTCTGGGTTCACGTGCCATACGTGTAGACGCACCATCCTAAATGATCGTGTGCATTTCTTCATCGATTCGTTGTTGCAGCCCTACCCGGACTCAGTTTTCATTAGTTTGAGTCCTGCTTTCCCTTAACCCAAATGAAGTGCAGAAGGATGTGAATGGCCGAGTGTGTTTTTGTGTACAGGTGAACCCGGGCACTGTGGGCTTCTATCGTATCCAGTACAGCTCGTCTATGCTGAAGAACGTTCTGCCAGGAATCCGAGACCTCAGTCTGCAGCCTGTGGACCGGCTGGGCCTGCAGAATGACCTCTTCTCCCTTGTAAGACTCACTAATGTGAATACACTCATCAAGCAGGGGTTAGGGGTGGTCTGCTTACGCATCTGTGATTTAAGCTGCTACACGCATGGGGGGGTATCATATCGTTCAGGATGATTCCAGCACATCTTTCTTTCCTGGGGGAGCAAAAAACATCACAGCAAGCTAATTAGATGAAGTCATGGTTGAGAATACAAATTCAGGCTCTGTGGTTGGATTGTTGTCACTCAACTGTGTATCAGATTAATGTTAAAAGGTAAGAAAAGGGCTCGGTCCTTTTTTCCTTGGTTGCAGCTACGGACTCGATGGCGCAGGGCGCCTCTGTTCTGATGTTGATCAAGTTTAATAGTGTTTAGGGATGACCCAGAAGGAAAATTGTTGACTGAAACCGAAACACGAAGAAATGATTGTCGATAGTTAGAACCGCAGCATTTATGGCTGCGATGTGCATCGCCTCACTAAAACCGAGGCATTGCATTAAATCAATTACAAACCATGATGTATGTATGTATGTAGCACTGACATGCACAATATACATGAATGTTTGACTTGGCCCCACTCGTGTGCATTAAATAATAGTAATAAATAAGTTATAAATGTGCAGGTTTATGACTAAAAGGCCTTCTGAGACTTTAAAATGAACCCTTTAAAGAGTATAATGCAGGTCAGAGACTCCCATGAACCGATGTTTAGAGAAACATGATAGAAACTCGTTTTAAACATTTTTTTTACACAAACATGACTTATTTAGGCTTTTAGAGTCATTTTTGTGAGAGTTATGGTTTTTTCCAAACCAAGTGGCGTCAGCTGAGGGAGTCCTGTTAGCTTAATCCAGAGAAAAACATGGACTCTACTGCGGCTCTGACACAGAAGAACCTTTACATGTTTATAATTCTACTTCTGATGGACCAGAACCATAAAGTTATGAGTTTGCTGCTCGCCCCAGAGAGCAGAGGCCAACCAGAGGGAGAAACCATCGGCTAAAACAGAGAGATAGAGGAGGAGAAGCAGCGGGGGGGGGGGGGGGCAGCTTGTGAGTTAACAGTTGTAAAGGGTTAATTTACATCTATTTAATGAACCATAAGACACGAGATTCCGTAGTAAATATGAAATCAATCTTATGGATCTTTGGGTACTTTTAACCAGAAGATTGGAACTTTTTATTGCAGGGATTATGTAACACTTCGTATTCACTCAGAGACAAGAGAAGAGAGAGTCACCTTTAAAATGTTTAAGAAGATTTATTTCTAAACAATTTTAAACAAGACTAACTCTAAACTCTAAGTGAATGGATCTGGTGTGAATGAGACGTGAGCTGATTGGTGTATGTGTGAGTGATGTTGTCATCAGAACTCTCGTATCCGGAGAAGCAAGTCTGAATGATGTTGTGATGTTTTGCTCTTAAGCTATGATCAGAGTTTCATAAACACATGAGACGCCATGTTGTCGCTCCACACACACCCTTCAGGATGAGACCTCCGTACAGATCCAGAATGCCAGGTCCTCAGACCCCCCTTTCGGTACCGGAGCCGATGAAACAGCGTCAGCAGTACGACAGACTAGTCTTTGGATTGTCTCCAGGTAAAAAGTGACAGTTGGTTGACGGCGTCAGATGGACACAGAGGGTCAGTGAGTTCAGCTTTTATTCTGAAAGGAACCGTTGCTTGGCTGGTAAAATGCAACAGATTTTATCCAGCTTGTTGGTTCTTTGCTTAAAAAGGAAGTCCGGGTGGCCGGTCCGTTACTTCTCTTAGCATGCGGTGAACTGAACTAAGATGGCGTGGGGACTGGTTTTATTAATCTGGATGTTTTTATTTCTGGTCGAATCAAAGTTGGACAGATTTATAAACACCACAGAGACTATGCCACGCTTCAGAAAGGAAGGTTCTGATTGGATGAGTCATGCGTTTACATGACGTGTGATCAGGATGTCTAGTGCAGCTAGATTAAAGTCATATTACTTATTAAACCTTACTAATCATAACATTGTCATTTCACAGATCGGTTCACATTTTATTATTGACTAACACTTTGTTTGATTAGCTTTATTAGAAATAGATTTCTTTGATTTATTAAAAGGAAAGAGTCCTTCGTCTTCATTCTTCTCTTGGGCTGGAAAGGAAGCAGTTTAGAAGCAAATGCATGAGACCTTGAGGCAGTCTCATGCAGATAAGTTCTTGCTGAGGGGAGGGGGGAAATGACTTTTAGGTGGAAAACAGTCATTTCATTCTGTTACACAATGCTAGCTTAAACTCGTGTGCTAGCATCACAATATTGTACAGATTACTATCATGTACCAGACAGTTAAAGTAGCATCGGTCAGTTAATATAATATTAATACTAATGAGCGTCTGCCAGCGGTCTCATACTCGCTAATATCCGTTCACCCTAACCTAGTTTAGAGAGAGGGAGAGAGACGCCAGTCCTCCAGTTCTGGAGCTCATGCGGGCTTCTGTGAGCTGGACCCGACCCAGACACCAGTGAGCCAGTCCAGCTGGTATTTTTAAAAGCTGCACATGATCCTCTCCTGGTGGTCCAGGCAGTGGTTCTGATCCAGTTCTGACCCAGAAACCAGCTGGCCCGCTCATCTGACCATCTCATCTGGTGGTCTGTTCTGACCTGGTTCTGATGGTGATTTGAGCTCCAGAAATCCACATTTAACTTTTAAACCCCTCCACGGGTCTCCGGAGCCCAGCGCGGACCTCCCTGACCCGGTACCGACTGATGTGGGCTACAGAAGTCCGTCTTTTGCTGCACAAAACGCCCTCAGGCACGGAGATAGAGGTGTTGTTCCTCTGATCTGGAAACCCGTGGACTCGATGTCCAGACAGGCTGGAGTCGGTACAGCCTTCACACACTCTAGTTTACCAACATGAACACAACCCAACACTAGTAAACACACTGACTGGATCACATGACCTTTAGCCTAAAACTAGCCACTCTCCACACCGAGCTGAGGAAGCCTAGCTTCTAACTCCCTTTGGTTACGTCAGAGGTTCACATTTAGAAACAAGAGAAAGGAACGTTTTACTAGAAAACTGCTGTTATGTGTTTTACAACCAAATATCCACAAAAGCATTTCTAATAGTATTTTTGGACAACATTTTATGAGCCATTAAGCACCAAAGTCCCAACACTGCGTTAATGAGCCACAGCTGCAAATATAATCCCTCATGAAGTTCTAGCTTTACACCAGAAGATGGTGGAGACGTGGACCTTCAGTCTGAGCAACACTTCTGGGTGTTTCTGTTGAAATGTTCAGAGTTTAGAGAGTTTGAAGGCGTTACTAAAAGGGGAAAACATTACTTTAGACATCAGTAAGAATGAACGGTTTTCATGAAGCAGAGACTTTAAAACCTCCACGAGTCTGTCGGAGAACCCAGGACCTCATATCCTCTTCAGCAAGCCCCTATAGAGACATTTGATCAGGCACCCTAACCCCAACCCTAACCTGTTCAGGTTCACGCTGAGCAGAAGGAAGGAGCACACGTGGTAAAGCCTAAGATGGTAACACTGGTGTTGGTTTTCAGTCTCGTGCAGGAATGATGAGCACAGTGGAGGTGCTGAAGCTGATGGAGGCGTTTGTTAATGAGCCCAACTACACTGTGTGGAGTGACCTCAGCTGCAATCTGGGAGTGCTGTCTTCTCTGCTGTCTCACACGGACTTCCACGAGGAGATCCAGGAGTTCATTCGGGACCTCTTCACCCCCGTCGGTCAAAAGCTTGGCTGGGACAGCAAACCAGGGGAGGGTGAGTGGGACCACGGGCATCCCGGTCACAGGGACTACATTAGAGCTTTGTGTGTGTGTGTGTGTGTGCGCGTGCGTGTTCCCACCAACATTTAAAGCATACATGTGGTGATTTTATAGCAGGTTTATGGTCGATACAAACGTGTTCTTTGCTCTAAGTATCTGGGATTTAAACTTCATTCTGGGCCTGGGCGTATATCGCAGTAAAAGTGGAAAATTCATGTTTGTTTTCCACTTCAGGTCCTCCTGAAGGTGTGTCCCTGGGCCCTTGAGCAAGGCCACCCATGCCCCCTTAGGCAGCATGATCCCTCCTGTCCTTTCTGAAGTCCAGCAGTTCTCTTGTTTTGGTTGCACAGAGGGCCGATTGTTGGGGCGGCAACGTTCCCCCGAGGCCTCGGTTCCTCCTGTAGGCTGAACTGTGTGACTGACTCTGCTGTATTAAAACGGTGGACTTGATCACCTGATTCATGTGTGTTTTTGAATTGCTGGTCACCTTAAAGACATCTTTGTTTTTCTGTCGTGTGAACTCCATCCAGGTCATCTGGATGCCCTTTTGAGAGGTCTGGTTCTGGGGAAATTGGGCAAAGCGGGACACAAACCCACTCTGGAGGAGGCTCGGCGGCGGTTCAAGGAGCACGTGGAAGGCAGGCAGATCCTGCCCGCAGACCTCAGGAGCCCGGTACGTGATCCATGTCTGCAAGCCTTCCTGATCACCAGCATGTCAAATATTTCCACGTTTCTTAAAGACGGGGATCACCGAAAAACCATTTTAATGATTATTGTGATAGTCCCTCTGAGTCTCCTACACTCATGCCCTGCATTAGCGTCTGACTGAGACACTCTGGGATTAGAAAAGCCGGACAGATCTGCGTCACACAACGCTTCGGCTAGTAGGAGCTAACCCTGGAAATGCTTCCAGCCATGGAGCTCGTTGATGGGGGGTTGAATCACGACACTTGTCCCACCTTGACGATTACGTTGTGTTATTGTAAACGTTTTTGCTCTGGGTACGGTTAGCCCGTTTAAAAATGTGTCCTGCACGGTGAGACGTTGGATCGTTTACCCGACCAGAGCTCGAGCGGGCTCATCTGCAATAGCAGCCTGTGGTTAATGCAAGGTGATGCATAGCTACACTGTTTAAGCTAACCGGTGCCAACTTCGTTACCCTAAGGTAGTGCGATGGCCAATGACTTAAGCATGCGGAGAATGGTAAGCACTGCTCGCCTATACCTTAGTGCCTTTGAAACGTGTAAGTCAGACAGCAGTTTATCCGCTGCTACCTTCCTGTAACACCTGCAGACCCCTGGCGTAGAGGGTTGTTGCCTGGGTCGTGGCCCTACTACGGAGCACTAGTACACAAACACACACAGAAGCATCATTTGACAGACTAGACTGGAATCCGTGTGTCAGAAGGAAAACACCAAAAGGGGAGCAAGAGCCACCATGCTAACTGTTTCTTGTTGCGTTAACCAGGTGTATCTGACTGTTCTAAAGCACGGAGACGGCGCCATGCTGGACGCCATGTTGAAGGTAAAACTAGAGCACAAATAAGGGCTGATGAGTCACAAGGTGATTGTGTAACTACACTTGAAAACCCTCTAGTCCCAGACTGCTGGTCTGTCTGGGGAGTCGGCCGCTGCTCCATCATCAGCTGTGATTGTTGTTTTCTGTCTTCTTTCAGCTCCACAAGCAAGCAGACATGCAGGAGGAGAAGAATCGTATCGAGCGTGTTCTCGGCGCCATACCTGCTCCCGAGCTCATTCAGAAAGTCCTCTGCTTTGCCCTCTCGGTACGCTCACAGGTTGTCTCATGCTAGCGTAGATGTTCAGGTTCCAGCTGGGATGGTCGTGGTTGCGGATCACCAGGCTGCTGGTCATCACACCACCGCTTCTGATTCAATCACTAAACCACATTACCTTTAGATCATGATTATTACTTTTAGGGGTGTACATAGTTACCCGGGTAATCGCCGTTAATGTCGTAACCGGGTAAAATAGCTTTGGCTTTACCTGCAGAAACAAGCAGAAACTCTTTGTGTGAATACCGACTCTGAACTTGTCTCTCTGGACGTTGTTCCTGACAGGAAGACGTCCGTCCCCAGGACACGGTGTCTGTGATAGGAGGAGTGGCAGGAAGTAGTAAACAAGGCCGGAAGGCTGCATGGAAGTTTGTCAAGGACAACTGGGAGGAACTTTACAACCGCTACCAAGGAGGCTTCCTCATATCACGGCTCATCAAGGTTGGAACCGTTCTCCTGTAAATGATGACATCACTGTCTTCAGTTGGACAGCGGCACAAGACATGTCCTTGCGGTGTCCTGCGGCTTTCCTGGTCACATGTTGTTTATCTTGTTTGCAGCTCACAGTCGATGGATTTGCGGTTGATAAAATGGCTGCTGAAGTTAAGGTGAGACACGACTTTTTGCTTTGTCTCTTGTGTCAGCGTTAAAAACAGAAAGGACTCGGGTCACGGTTTCGTAGATGAAGTTCAGATGAAACCCGAGGTCAGAAGAGGCAGAGCTAGGGGTGCGGGCTGTTCAGAAGGGAGGGCAAGGTTCCTCTCTTTGTGTTTTTCTTGGTAGAGTCTCAGATCTGCTCCATCCAGATTTGCTGGTCATTGTTTATTATTTAGGGTTTTTACTTCCTCTTTAAGAAAAAAGGTTCTAAGATGTGACGTGATGGAGAAGTGCCCTCCTTCAGCCAGAGCAGAGGCACATCAGTTCTGTAGATTAGCTTCGTGTCTTTCCCAGTTGTCTCTGAAACCTTGGCCAGTGGACCTGGATCCCTCAGAGTCCTGTCTGGTGTGATCCAGATGTTAAAGCCGGTTCTTCACTGGGCTCCTTGGACCCTCTGACTCGGTCTGGCCCGCGCCTTAGCAGCAGGTTTCCATCCGCCTGGGAATGGACATGAAGTGGTTATTTACAAAGTGCTGTCGCTTTATGAGCAGCCTGCTCAAATCCTCACCCACACTTAGGGAATTCCTGGAAGTGGAAGCCCCTCGGGAATGTTTCAGGGTTATAGAAACTTCCTCTGTTGTGTGTGTTCTTGGTAAATACTGAGGACCATTATGAGGTTTTAACCAACAGAGTGAGGTCATGTTTGTGGTTTTAGAGGTATGAGTTAAGGTTAGGAATACAGGTCCTTCTCAAGAAATTAGCACATTGTGATAAAGTTAATTGTCTGTAATGTACTGATGAACATCAGACTTTCATATATATTAGATTCATTACACACAACTGAAGTAGTTCAAGCCTTTTATTGTTTCTAATATTGATGATTTTGGCGTACAGCTCATGAAAACCCAAAACTCCTATCTCAATAAATTAGCATATCATGAAAAGGTTCTCTAAACGAGCTATTAACCTAATCATCTGAATCAACTAATTAACTCTAAACACCTGCAAAAGATTCCTGAGGCTTTTAAAAACTCCCAGCCTGGTTCATTACTCAAAACCGCAATCATGGGTACGACTGCCGACCTGACTGCTGTCCAGAAGGCCATCATTGACACCCTCAAGCAAGAGGGTCAGACACAGAAAGACATTTCTGAACGAATAGGCTGTTCCCAGAGTGCTGTATCAAGGCACCTCAGTGGGAAGTCAGTGGGAAGGAACAAGTGTGGCAGAAAACGCTGCACAGCCAGAAGAGGTGACCGGACCCTGAGGAAGATTGAGGAGAAGGACCGATTCCAGACCTTGGGGGACCTGCGGAAGCAGTGGACTGAGTCTGGAGTAGAAACATCCAGAGCCACCGTGTACAGGCGTGTGCAGGAAATGGGCTACAGGTGCCGCATTCCCCAGGTCAAGCCACTTTTGAACCAGAAACAGCGGCAGAAGCGCCTGACCTGGGCTACAGAGAAGCAGCACTGGACTGGTGCTCAGTGGTCCAAAGTACTTTTTTCAGATGAAAGCTAATTTTGCACGTCATTCAGAAATCAAGGTGCCAGAGTCTGGAGGAAGACTGGGCAGAGGGAAATGCCAACATGCCTGAAGTCCAGTGTCAAGTACCCACAGTCAGTGATGGTCTGGGGCGCCATGTCAGCTGCTGGTGTTGGTCCACTGTGTTTTATCAAGGGCAGGGTCCATGCAGCTAGCTAGCAGGAGATGTTGGAGCACTTCATGCTTCCATCTGCTGAAAAGCTTTATGGAGATGAAGATTTCATTTTTCAGCACGACCTGGCACCTGCTCACAGTGCCAACACCACTGCTAAATGGTTTACTGACCATGGTATGACCTGAACCCCGTAGAGAACCTGTGGGATATTGTGAAGAGAAAGTTCCTGTGGTGAGTGGTCATCCGCCACCAACTCCTAATCTGTGGAACGCGCTCCTGGATGTTCACCCGGCTTCGACACTTGTGCGTGCTCTGCTGCCCCTTCTTTGTCTTTGGCCAGCTGTGGTTACATGTTCTTCACATATAAATGTGGTGTGTTTTGGAGTGTGTTTTCTCTGTGAGAGCTTGACCAGCTGTTCCTGTGTGTGTGCAGAGTTTCTTCGAGAGCCACCCCGCGCCGGCTGCAGAGCGCACCGTGCAGCAGTGCTGTGAGAACATCCTCCTCAACGCTGCCTGGCTCAAGCGAGACGCAGACGACATCCATCAGTACTTCCTGCTCCGCAAGGCTCCGCCCGTCTGAGCCGCGCGTCCCGCTGCCTACTCAAGCCCCTCCCCCTTCCCTCCAGCTTGAACCTCTCAGCATCATAGCTGCCCCCCTCCCCGCCCCCCATCCCAACCAATCAGAGGGAGAGACGAGGACAATCCTTACCGGCTACATTAATCAACACCAAAACTAAAGTCAAGTCCTGAACAGAAGTGTGGGAGGATGAGTAGCCTCCATGTTTTATCCCCATCCTGTCTACAACAGGTCTGCAAACGCGTCTGCTCAGCTGGTGCTGTTAACCTGCAGCCCCCCGACAGGGTGGGGGTAACACCGCCCCGTCAGGACTGCTGTTAACATGCGGCGAGCAGCACTAGCATGGTACTACAATGTGAACTGTTTAATGCAAGCCTTTTTGCCAGTTTTATTTTCAACAGCGTAACGGAGGAGTTTAAAGGAAGTGATTGTGTTCCTCTGTGCACCTCCAGCTGCAGCCTGACCCTTCATCAGCTGGGGTGGGTGGTTTAGGTGCTCGGGGAGTCCGGCGTAGCGAAGACGGGGAGAGGAGCCCGGCCCGGCCTCGGAGCGGTTCGGCTTGATCTGCAGGAAATAGGAAAGAAACGGGTGACTTGACTAAGGTCCGACGTGATAGGATAAACAGACTTGTTGAACCAGAGCTTGATGATTGGTTTAGCTTTCTGAACTCACCTCCCACCCTGGCTTGTGTGTTTCCTTACAAACAGCTGGTGTGTTAAAGTCCAACTGTTCCAACTGAGCAGGTCTACATGCCTGGAGACAAGCTAGCCCAAACATAGGAGCGAGTATGATGTCATCAGCACTTGAACAGACGAGGAGCAGGAGTGATGAGAGGAGCAGGTAGAGATGATCAGAGGAAAAGCTTTCAAAGGTCTAGAGAACGTTGAGGCAGCTGTGAGTTTTCTGAGACACCAAGTGTTTAGTCCCTGAAAGGAGTTTAGATGAATGTGGGATTTCTGTGGTTTTACGTCATCAAAGTGTTGCCACGGCAATTGTAAATACAATCTAATAAAGACTTGATGATACAGCATTTGTCCCTGCAGGCCTTTTCTCAGGTGTGCCTCTCACTGTGAGGTTTGGTGTGGTCTGTGACTGGTTACATGGTGGGATGAACCAGCGTGACCTTTATCACCAGGTGTCATCACGAATCTGCTGATGCGGTGAAAGACAAATAACCGAAGAGGGGGAAAGGGTTTGGTGTGTAGCCCCACAGCCTGGTGCCCTGCTTCTACAGGTGAAACTGGAAAAATTAGAAGCTGGTAGAAAAATGAAAGTAATCTCTGAAACAGGCTCACTCCACGCAAATCCAGAGGTTTCAGCCTTTATCTGTTATAACTGATTGTGGCTTACAGCTGATGACAACCCGACAGTCCGTCTTGGACAGAATGTTGTGAGAAGGTGTCACACTGATCAGCTGATGAATCCAGAACCGCTGCAGAGGGCTCCTGAGCCTTTAGATGGTATCTCAGTCTGAGCTGGAATAGAAAGGAAACGTGTCCCATGAGGCGCTTCACCAGAACAAGAATTTTAAAAAAATCATAAAATGAAAAAGATAAATGTGAGGAAAGGAAGAGAGAAAATGAGTAAAGGAAATCAGTAGGTCCCAGGAAAGGAGGAATAAGGAGAGGGAGGTGATGACGGTCCCACCAAAGCCTGAACAGGTGAGTTTAAAGGAGACCACTGAGTCCACTGATCTCAGGCTCAGGGGGAGAGAGTTCCAGAGTCTGGGGGCGACAGCAGCAGATGATCTGTCACCTTTGACCTTTAGCCTGGTGCTGCACAACCAGTAGGCTTTGGTCCTAACCTGGCAATCATCAGCATACAGATGGAATGACACGTCATGCTTGCAAAATAGGTCACCCATATAGGGAGAAAAATGGTGGGGCTAAAATCGATCCCTGGGGCACTCCCCAAGGCAGCTCAGCCAGGTCGGAGCAACAGTCCCCCAACTTCACACAGAAACTCCTCCCTGTCAAGTAGGATCTTATCCACTTGAGTGCCTGGCCAGTAATACCCACACGCTCGGGCGCGCAGATAGGGTGGGGGACGGGGGGGATCTGTCTCCCCCAGATTCAGATCGACCCCGATCCGTCCCCCAGAAAGAAAACAAAATCAGTGGTTAAGCGCTTGAAGCTCCTTTTTCCAATTGCAATGAATGCAGCATGACGTAAACAAACACAGACTCCAGAGGCGCCAAAGTGGTTGCTGCTGCAGGATGAAGCGAAAAAGGCAACGATTACTGCGTATTTAAAAAAGACCAACAGTGTAAGTAGGCGGGACCGATCTGTCTGTTTATGCGTGTTGGTTCTAGTTTCAGTACGTTGTTGTCAGTGTTGGGACTTACTCGTTATAAGGGCCAAAGCCTCATTGATGACTTTAACAAGTCTCATCTACAGATATGATCCCTCATGAAGTTACTACTTTACAGCAGAAGATGGTGGAGATGTGGAACCTTCAGGCTGAGCAAAGTTTGGGAGTTTTTAGAGTTTGAAAAACGCCTCCCGCCGAGAGGCTCCCAGTCGGGGAGAAGAGGAGATGCGTGCAGCATGAAGAGCGCAAATATTAGATAAAACATATAATTGCTGGCAGGTCTGGTCTTTGTTGACTGATCACTTTATCTGGTAATGACTGACTCTGATGAAGAAATTCACTCATCCAGCTGGGACGATTGACGCTGCTGCAGCATCAGACAGCTGGTGCTGCACGAGAGGTGTGTGGGGTTTACAAGCTCCAAACGTTGGGTTTGATGTTGGTTTAACCTTCTCTGGGACATGATGGACGTAGAAATGATGGTAAACACCGCTAGCATGACAGACGTAGCGACAATGTAAAAAAAAAAGCCGTAAAAAGAGGCAGATGCCGATGCGTTATATGTGGAAGTCAAGTGTGCCACATAATCATAAAAAAGTAAAATATAAAATTTAAAAAGAGATTTATATATTTATATATAAATTTAAACTTTCCAAATGCATGAGGTTTTGGTTAGTAATTGATTGGGAGAATAACAAATGACTGAATTAAATAGTGGGGTGCCTCTGTCAGTGCGCCCCAGGGCAGCTGTGGCTACATCGTAACTCATCCCCATCAGTGTGTGAATGTGTGTGTGAATGGATGAGTGATACACTGTAGTGTAAAGCGCTTTGGAGTCCTTACTCTGAGAGGCGCTATACAAGTGCGGATCATTTATCATTTATAGTGTTGATCAGGCAGAGCTTTGTTGCCTGCGTTCCACTGCATAATGGCTTCAAACATGTATGTAAAAGTGTTAGTTTTTACGCAAACTATTGGATGAAATTACACAAACTGACTGAGCTCTAGTTAAGGCGCTTGCAATAGTTTGTGTGTGTGTGTGTGTGTGGGGGGGGGGTACATTGGAACTTTGCCCCCCCCCCCCCCCAGTTTGAAAATCCTATCTGCGCCCCTGCACATGCTACTCCAGTCGGTTAGGTTAGGTAGTAAAGAATGATCAATGGTATCAAAGGCTGATGTCAAGTCCAAGAGCGGTCAGGTCCAGCAGGACCAGAACATAACAGTCCAATGCATCACTGGGGGTCAGGAGGTCATTAGAGACCCTAAGAAGAGCCGTTTCAGTAGAATGAGCTCTACGAAAACCTGACTGGAAGCTATCATTGATGTTATGTTTTGACCAGTTTACATGGATTTTTTCACCAGATTCTCATTTTCCCAGTTTCATCTGTATAAATTAAAATGTGTTATTATTTCTAGAGAATAAATGTGGGAATAATTTAATACGAGGTGCTTTTAGCTACAAAAGCAAGACATATAAACAAAAGCTTCTTCCGGGTCGCGCCCGTTCAGAGGTGTTGTTCTCCTGCCGGCCTGCAGGTGGCGGTGGAGCACGGCGACGCCGCTGAGACCACGGCGAAGGAGGAAGCTGCTTCTACAGGATGGCTGCTAGGAAGCGACAGCTGTGTGAGTAGAGTCAGCTCTGTGAAGAAAAGTCAATAAAACATGTGCTAACCCAGAAACAGCTACCTTAAACGGAGTGGTTTATCCGCCCTATCTTTGTCCGGTTTGAGTGTTTGTAGCTGGAAGCTAACAGAACGTGTCCCGCTAGCTTCGCGTTTAGCTGATTAGCTCTGCTCCTCCCCGGATGCGGCCGAGCCAGAGTTCACGGGAGCAGCCATAAGTGTGTGTTTCTATTAATATCCCACCTTTGCGTTATGTAAATAGAATCGGCTGTTCGCTAAACTCTGAACCCGAGCTCGGTTCCTGCTCGGGTAACGTAGCGATCTGGTTACTGGTTCGAGCTGAAGGTCCCACCTAAGAGCCTTTTGAGTGGAGCCCAGGCCAAGCAGCAGCTAGTGCTTCCAAAGTAAAGAAACGAGTAGAAAAGAGCATTAGTGAAGTTTACACCATCTCAACAGGATCCGGAACTACTCTGCGACTTAAAGCAGGTTGAGGCGCAAACGCCTGAAGGCTGATTATGGAGCTCAGCCGGGGCAGCTGTCCTCGGCCCTGCCAGACTCACCTGCGGGGTTCACCAACCGTACACCTGTTTTACACCTCCTCAAAGATTAGAATGTGATGTGCTCTAATTTCCCTCTGGGATTAATAAAGTATCTTTGAATGAATTTACTTTTACCAGGTGAAACCCCTTCTGTGCTCGTGTCAGCTGCTGTTGGTGTGTCAGGAACTCACTGTTTGATGTAATCTCAGCTTTTTCTGCTCCGTGTGGTCTCAGGCTGTTGGACGCCCTCGCCATGATGCTAGGCAGCAGCGCGCTGGTCGTGGTCCTCTTGCTGTCGCAGGCCAGAAGCTTCCTGAGCCCCCCAGAGGACGACAGCATTCCTGATGGGTGGGTGTTGCTCCATGTGGTCCAGGGCCACATCGGGGCGGGAAACTACAGCTACCTGCGCCTCAACCACGACGGGAGAATCATCCTGCACATGCAGAGCCTCAAGGGTGATGCGGACCTATACGTGTCGGATAAAACCCTCCATCCCAGCTTCGACACCTACAAGCTGCAGTCGGCCACCTGTGGCCACGATGTGGTGGTGGTTCCAGGGGAATTTGCTCGGCCCGTGGGCATCGGTATTTACGGGCACCCGTCCCACCAGGAGAGTGAATTTGAAATGCGAGTGTTTTATGATCAGACTGTACCCCAGGACCCATTTGAAAAGGGCTCATACTCGTCCGAACGCGAGCGTGGAGAAAGAAAAGCTGCTCGGGCAGCAGAGGATGACTTTCAGGAAGAGGAGTCCATCTTCTGGACTATTTTGATTGGACTTTTAAAGATAATACTTGAAATATTGTTTTGAAAGTAATTTACTTGGCGTTGTGATGCGGAGGTGATTCCTACATTAAAATGGACTCGGTGTGTGGATAGCAGCAGGGAGAGTTGAGGAACACAACAGCTGGTTTTAAAGTGGAAAAGGATCACGGTGCTGAGCTCGAGGTCTCTGATGTCCTCCAGAGAACAAAATGATCAGATGAAGGAGCAGAGGACCTTTTCACATCACCTGTCTTACCTTGAGGAACCTGACTGGGTTTGGTTGTTCATGCCCAGCAGACTGGGGCGCCTCCTTTGTGGTTAGAGCGGTCTGCTGCTGACTCGTCAGTCTGCCTCTGGCTAGCTCAAAGATGGACTCCAGCTCTGCACATCAAAGCCAGATGACTAGCCACGCCCCCTTTAGGTGGTGACCATGCAGGGAAAGGCCAAATATTACCACTCTGCTCTTAAAACACTTTAAATCTTCTTGTCAAACAAACTTTAATCAGTTTCCTTTTCAGGTTCAGCTTTGATTTAGTTGGTTTTATTTCTGGCTTCAGCTGTTTAACGAGAGAATGTGTTGAGACCTCTCTGCCCTTTTGGTTGTTCCTTTAAACGGTTTATTCAAACGAGGCGGCCGTGTGAATGCAGCTGTTCCAACAGCTCCAGGATCTGACCCACTCGGGCTTTGGGATCAGACTTAAACTCCTCGTGAATGTGGGGTTTTTTTTTTTTTTTTTTGAAGCGACAGATTCAACCGCTGAGCAGAAACAACAGTGCCTTGAGACAACTGGAGCAGGTTCTTTTTTAGACAATTCAGCCAGCTTTCAGAATAAAACTTTTGCATATTTCATCTTTGTGATTTTTATTTCAGACTAATTTAAAGCATTTGGTGTGGAAGGATCCACTCATGACAAACATCCCGTTTCAGCTGAAAATTTAGACAATAATTCTGAAACGGCCTCGCTCCTCCCCCGAAGCTGGAGTCTGGTCTGAAACCGGTCCGCTCCGGTAGACTAGTGGTCAGTGTGCTCAGGCAGAAGCCTTTCCCACATTTAATTTCACCAAAACAGTTTAGTTTTCGGTTATAAATTCAGACTAACTCATATTTCAGGTAAATGACACCTCTGTAGTATGCTGTCGTGTACGTTTGTCCACCGTTGCTCTAGAAGGTCTAAACCACCATGTGGACCATTTAAACCATCACTAAGCTGCTAGCACTGGTTTCACACATTTTATTTCTGCAAGTCAACACATGAAGTCTGGATGTTGAATCTTCAAGATTGAAACCAAATCCTCCAGCCACACCTGTCAGCTGCAGGTGGATGACGTCACGGGTCTGATCAAATCCAGACCACGTTAAGCTGAGGTGGAATTGTTTCACTTTTATATCCTTTTTTCTGACGTAACTAAAGACACCTGTCCAGAACAACATCTGGTAACAGGAGATGGGGACATCTGTCTCGCCCTGGAGGACAACCATGTTCCTGAAGCAGTCTCTGGTCAGGACAGTCGGGGGGACAGCTCGATGCTGTTGATCCTCAGCACCGTCTGCGGCTGGACAATTATTTTCTTGTACTGGAACCGGTGTCTTTTCCAGAAACGCATGAGGACTTTAGGCCAGGACTCGGTCTTCTCGATCACGGTAGCTTCGACTCGGACCAGGTCCTTCCCCAGCAGAGGCCTCCCGACCAGGGAGAAGTCTCCCGCGCCGACCAGCAGCACCTTCTCCATCCGGATCCGCTCCCCGCACTCCGCCTCGATGTGGTTCTCGATCAGAATCAAGTCCTCGTCGGTGACCTTCCACTGGCGGCCCGCGAAGTGCACCACAGCAAACAGCCGGCCGAAGTCCTGCCGCTGGAGCCGCTGCTGCACGGCGCTGACCACCGCGGCGTGACGGCTCCGCTCCACTTCCGCCGGGACCAGGCTTACCTGCCCCTCCCAGGGGGGCCGCGACAGCGACGTGTGAGGCAGCGTGTTCCCGCTAGTCGAGCTCTGTGCTCGGACTGCAGCGGGGAACAGGTACCGCGGGAAAACGCCACAATGTGTCCTCCACACGCTCATAAGCCCTCTACTCACCGCCATCTTGACAGGACTCTTGAACTTACTGCGCATGCCTAGTTCTTCTTCTTCGGTTTTACGATGGTTGACCATAGAGATCTCACTTCGGACAGCTGCCCTCTGGTGTTTAGTGGTGCATGCACTATTTAAACAACTTTCAACCGGTTTTCATACGGTTTGATTTTTTTAGAAACATTAGAGACGTGGCTGTGAAATATATATCAGTTTTAGCAGGAAACTCGCCTTATTTCACTCCACTTTCCAGCCGTTTTCCCCATCCTGTCAATTTCCCACAGACTTACCGTTTAAATGTCAACAAGATCTGCTTCTGATGATCTAGCTGTAGTTTGTTAACTGAGGTCAACTTATAAAAATAAGTTTTAAGAAACCTTATAGCTTACCATATCAACTTATAAATAAAAACTCAAATACCTGATTTAATTTACAGAAAATAGTCAAACAAAATACACAGAAGCAGCAAACAGAATCTTATTAACCTCAAAATCACATTTTAAGAAGTCCAAACCACCCACTTTGTTGAATATAGATTTAGGAATGTGGAACCACATGGAGTCTAACTGAGATAAACATGACTTTAACCATTTAATTCTAAGAGTAGCAATCATAGATTCAAATTCACCTTTACCATATTCCTAGTTGAGATCTTTTAATATGTAGTGTGTTTTGTTTCTCCACAAAAATTGGTAAATTATTTGGTTAGCTTTAGTAATGTTTTTTTGGGAAATATATAAAGAGCAGCAGGGAAAAATCAGTTTCGAGAAGCCCTCATTTTTAGCAAAAAGGCTTCCAAAACTGGTGAGATCTCTAGTCAGCCAGTGGTTGAGTGTCTTCTTCATATCTAAAATACAGTCAGAGATATTAAAATCTTCTCTTTTGTGGAAATTAACACGCCTAGGTATTTGACTTCTGATTCAAATTTAATCGAAGCAATTGAGGAGTGTGGGCTTGTGTGAACTGGTAGAAGTTCACATTCTCGCATTGTTTTTTTTTTCTTCTCTGTATTTTTATTTTTATCTTTTCCTTCTCTCTCTCTTTTGCTATATTGTTTGATGTAAACGTGCTGTTAGTCAATAACGTTGTATATTTATCCAAAATGTTCAGGAATGTTTTTTATAAGATCTTAAAAGCAGAAAAAACAAATAAATAAAAAACAGTGAGGACAGTCGGTTTGCTGCTAAATGAAATAGCCAATCGTAGTAGAGCCAATCAGAGGCGAGAATGGCGGGACCTTCCTTGGATATCCTCGCTTTCCTAATGACGCACCCCGGATGAATGAATGCAAGTAATGGGGCTAAAAACCCCAAACTGTTACCCTGCCTTCTGTCCGAGCACGTCTCCATCCATCTGCTGCAGAAACTGCAGCTGCTAGCCTGGTATGCCAGGCAAACGAGGCGGGACCGGGCGGGACTAGCCAACTCAAAAATAACCAATCAGAAAAAGGGCAGAAATGACGATGGTATCACGCGACGCTGTAGTTTTTTTTAGCGGAAGTCAAAGATGGCGTCTGTTGTTCACATAAATGATACTTGTCGTCTTTGTAGTAAAGTCCTAAGAATTCACGGAGTTTTAAGCAATTCTGTATTAATATTTGAACGAAAACTACAAGACAGGACATTTTCCGACAGATGTGCGCGTTTGGGATTAAATTTAAGCCAAGAACGAACAAAGTCGGTGCGTATTTGTAGAACATGCGCAAACGTGGTAGCACGTCTCGAAAAAGATTTGCCTTTATTGAAAAAATGGCAGATAAACGAAAAACCCATCAAAACAGAGGACCAGACTTCACCAAGAGCAGAGAAAAGAGACTGTACAACACCACCGACACCAAGGGCTGCAGAAAAGCTTCGCTGTGGTCCTCAGCCACAGACCTCTGCAGCACAGCGAGGCTCGGTGCAGGTGAGCTGAAACCTACGCTGATACGTTCGCGGTCATGGGATGGTGGCGTAACTCTGTCATTGCTGTTGTGTCACCATGGCAACGCTTAAAACCATTTTAGTGTTAATATTATCTGTCTTTTTAAAACGAATACTGAAAAAAATCAAAACCTTCCAGATTACTCGATTAAATTACTAAAAATCAACTGTCAGAGGTCTTATTACATTAAATGATCAAAACAGAATATTTATTAACACATTTGGTAAAATCTGATCTTTTTTATGAGGACTTTTATGAAAAATTAAGTGATTTCTTTCAATAGCTCCTAGGTAAATCAGTCTAAATACCCAAAAACCATTTCTCAATGCTGTTACTAAGTCAGAGTCCGATGAGACACGGCAGTTTTTATACACTTTTAAATATCCGATCTTTTTTATTAGTATTTTTAATCAAAAATTAAGTGATTTCTTTTTTTAAAGAAAAGATCAGATTGTATGAAATGTGTTAAAAACTGCTGTGTCTCATTGGTCTGGCTTAGTAACACCAATGAGAAATGGTTTTGGGTATTTACACTGATTTACCTAGGAACTATTGAAAAAAATCCCTTGATTTTGGAAAAAAAGCCTAATAAAAAAGATCAGATATTAAAAAATGTGTAAACTACTGCTGTGTCCCATTGGTCTACATTTGTAACATTATTGTGAAATGGTTTTGTGTGTTTTCAGCAATTAACCTAGGACCTGTTGCAACAAAACACTTCATTTTTGATAAAAATCCTAATAGAAATGTAAGATCTGAAGAAATGTGATTTAAAAACTGTGTTTAGAGCAGTTAACATATGAAATAAGTTAATATTTGGAAAAAATGTACAATATAAAAGCTCAGATTTAATCTAATGTGTTAATAAAGCTTTTGCTTTGCTCATTGAGTGTAATAAGACCGTTGACTGTTGATTTTTAGTAATTTAATCAAGTAATCTGGAAGGTTTTGATTTTTTCAGTATTCATTTTAAAATGAATGTAAATTTGTTGACGGTCCCTAAACAAAACACAGCTAACCGCCGTCTGCAGCGCTTGCACACGGCATGAAGACCCATTGCTGACCGTGGGGTGAATGTCTGTCGAGTGTCCAGCGTGGAGCTAACTTCACCGCGGTCTCTCGTGGTGTATTTCTGAGCTCTATGACTACTAAACACCCACAATGTGCCTGTAGGGTTTTGGTTCCTGTGTTGAGTGGTTTCATACACACATTTGTTGCATTGCAGTGTGTGTGTGTGTTTTATTCTGTTATAGAAATAAATGATGCAAGCCATCTGTTAGATACAATCCCCAACCCAGCAGCATGTATTACATATATGTTTACATATTTTAAATCCTTATTCTGTCTTTCCCAGGTGACCACGCAGTACACTTGTTTCACTGTTCCAGCACAGCACGAAGCTGGGATAATACAGCATCTTAGCACAGGCAACTGGAAATCTGCAGTCCATTTAATTTCTAAACATAAAGAACTCATGGAAGAAATGAAAATAATAATGATCAGCATCATCCAGGAAGAATGCAAGAGACTCACTAAGGCTGAGAATGGATGCATGCTGTGGAAAACGACTCCAGAGGACCTGAAAAAGTTCTCTTTTGAAACTTTACTCGCTGACCTTCATCGACTTTCACCTTTCCTGTTGTCTGTTTTCAAAGCTGTAACGAAAGACAACGTGTCTTGTGTTGGTGCCGCTGCATCTATAGCACTAAGGGCTCGAGATCTTCGGATGTCTGCCTTTGCATACCACATCAGTGGTATACTGCAACATGGTGGAGCAAAAAAAGCCGTTTTCACGAGGCTCTCCAAAATGGGCATTTCAACAGCCTTCAAAAATGCTGCACGCAAGAAAAAAGAGATGGCAGCATCATGTGGAGAAGAAGTGCAGCTCCTGAACGCCAGCAGTGACCCGTTCCTCAGATCAGAAGCTGAATGTGATGCAGAAAATGTGGATGAGTAATGACGGGTGTGACTAGAACTAGGGCTGAACAATTTTGGAAAATAAACTAATTGCGACATTTTTTCTATATTGCAATTGTGACTTAATCCACGATTATTTTCCCCAGGGGCTTTTCTCATTTTTCAACTAACGGAAGCAAAAAAAGAAAAAAAAAACGATGTAATTTGTACTGAATATAAACAAGTTTGTGTTTCTACATATTTATCTACATATCATATCTACAAGTTTATTTGTCTACATAATCAAATCAAAGATACTTTATTAATCCCAGAGGGAAATTAGAGAAAGCATAAACACTCACAAGTACAGTGATCCCTCGCTACTTCGCGTTCGTTTATCGCGGATTCACAACTTCGCAGATTTTTTCTTTGGAGCCTTATTCATGGGAAATTCACCGATTCGCGGTATTTTTCACCGATTCTTAGTATTTTTCTATGCTAAATATCAAGAAATTCCTGTTTTTTCATCAATTTCATCATAAAATGCACTTTTTGTAATAAAACTATAAACAAACAAGTAAAAATACAGTACTATGTAAAGGGAGGGTTTTAAAGGTCTGAATACTGAATACGTACGTGATAAATAAATACTGTAAATATGGTGTCCCTACTTGGCGGATTTTGACCTATCGCGGCCAGGTCTGGAACGCAACTACCGCGATAAACGAGGGATCACCTGTAATGACTAAATGTTGCGTGTGAAGGTGCGATGCTTGCAGCCAGGAGCACATCCCTTGAAGGAGCATCAACTGAACGTTTATCAGCAGGAAAGACGTGTGTCCCGTTTATTGAAGCCTTTTGTGTTTAGAGTTTTTGACGTCTTGTCCATGCAGAGCTTCCGTAGTTCAGATACGTCCATAGGATCTCAAGGATATTAAGGATCTCAGGAGCTCCTTTAGTGGGCGAATGTTAACGCCCCGTTGTTCCACTGAACGCTTTAGGATCTCCTTTATTCCTGCTGCCGTGCGTTTTTACAACGAGCGTTTAGTATGATCGTATATTTGATATTTCTATCATGGTCGTGGCTTACAGCAGTGTCCAGTGAATGTCTTGTGTGTGTGCATGTTGTTATTTTTTACTTGTCCAAGGCAATTAAATTTCCCCCCGGGGGATTAATAAAGACAAGCTGGTTTAGGCTCGTTGCACCCTCCAGGATGACACGGACACTTTAAATGGCAGCCTGCGCAGCACACATGTCCTGGCTCTATGGCTGATGGGTGTTCGAAGTGTCAACAAAACGCTCTAAAGCAAGAATCTTCACTCTAAGCAACTGTCACATCTATGTTTGTGTGTTTTCTTACACACTAGACAACAGCGTGTGACTGAGTGCCACCTCTGCCAGTCTCCTGAACGACTGACTCCACACCTTCAGGCACATCGTAGAGAACAACATGGGATGTACTGAGACGAGTTGAACCATACCAAGGGCAGTAGTCGCAGTAACTACTCTGTAATTGCCCTCACCGCCCACTGAGGCTATAACTCGCTCCTTGTTCTGCTGAAGTGTTTTGCTATGGACCATACCATTTAGCAGGTTCTCCACCTTATGGTCAGGATCCTACCAACCCAAGCCTCGTCCTGTAGCTCAGCCTTTTAGGTAACAACAGCCTGCCAACACTTTTACTGTACGACCATGGAGACGTAGTGGGGCCTTTTCTTTCACTTCCCTGATGATCCGGTCAAGTGAAGCTTCTAAAATATGTTTGAGTCCAAGCCTGTCTGGGCTTTCTGTCACGGTTGTAGCGTTCTGCAGCAGCAGCAGTGTCTCCACTCAAGCCCTGCAGATGCTCTAAGGGCCAGTATCGTTCTACCTTCAACATGAAAGTACGTTAGTTAGCCTAAAAATATGGTAACGGAAAAAGATGTCATTCATTTATTGTTTTATTTTACTCAATATTTGATTGAATTTGAAAATCTACAACACAATAAAGCACAATAAAGGACATTAGCAGGTTTTAGTCATTAAAAAATGAAACTTTAACAATACTTTGCAGTTTGATGCACTTACAGATTACTCTTGTACTTTATGTGTACAACAGATACTCTCCAGGCTTGGCAAGAGACCGCAGCTCACCCAATCTGGCAAAACGTTCTCTAAAGGCACTCCTCCCCTTGTCACCTTGTTCCCTAGCAAGACTGTAAGAGACATGTAGTACAGTAGCTACCGACTTGCACGTGTAAATACTCCCACTTACCATTTATAAGTAAGATGAACCTCGTCGACAACAACCCCTACAAGATCAATCGTTGCAGACAAACTTATTAAGAAGCCATGACTGGACTACGAACACCAACCGAGGCGCGCCGCTAACAGTCTCCCTGAGCTGCACTGCAGTCAACCCCAGCTTTCCAGCTTCTTTTACTTGTTGCTCCATTAGTGCACGTGAAGGTGACACCACAACAACAACAGGGTTTGAATACATCCCCATTTTCTTGGCAACAAGCGGAGCAGCTGGCATATTAAGCTTTTCCCAGATCCAGTTGGTTGGTCAGCGCAGCGCTAACATCTTTAGAAGAAAGGCCTTTAGAGCTTCTTCTTGTTGAGGTTTTAAAGACATGTCCAAGTCCTTTAGAACAGAGTAAAGAGCCGTGGCAAAATTCGCTTCAGAGGCCATCTTTGTTGTTTATGAGAAACTGAGCGTGGCGGTGTGCGACGTACGCTGCTCAGCGCTGATGGGTCCGGTTGGCATCCTCGAGGGTGTGAGGTTATTTGTAGGAGAGTTACCAGACTCTGGCGTGCCAGGCTGCCGCGCTGCAAACCCCAAAATGAATCTGCATGTTTCCAGTACATACTTGAACACGTTTGTCGAATGATTCGTGCAATCAGATTTTTATTTAATTCCACAAAATGCTAGTTCTGGATTAGATATTACAGAAAGGCACGCCATCAGATTTAAAAGCTGGCGCTCGATAATTAGGCCGTCATTTTTAAAGTCAGTGGTGACGGGGAGGCTCGCTGACTGTCGCACACATTATTTTACTCCAACAATCCGAATGGCTGTGTACATGCACGTCGATCGGAATGATGATCGGACAAAACCATCTCTCTCAACCGGATTGAAATTTCATTCCGATCGGCCGAATCGGATCAGAACATTCCGATTGACATGTTTACATGCAGTTTCTCATCTGACTGGGTGTTCGACCTCATTAATTGTGTGCGTGTAAACGTGGCTAGTGAGGATTGGCTCACTTCTGCTGCCAGCCCCTAGCGGATGAGGGTGGAACTACAACTTTATCCACTCCTTTGCTTCAAAAAATGTGGACCATAATAGCCCCTTATTCTGAAAACCACTCCTATTCCTTGTTACTCTTTCTTAGAAAGGAAAACAACTTTTTTTACTTCTATTCAAATTCAATATTCTTATCGGATTCTTTTTTTGTTTTATTTATTTTAAATATTACGCACAAGTTTATCTTTTATTTCGTTAAATGCAAGAGGTCATGATAAAATAAAGCAACGTTTTTGTTCTGTAAAGGACGTAAAGCTCATCAATCTCCCTCTGGGATTAATAAAGTATTTTTGAATTGAACTGAATTGAATTGAAGGCTCACTGCACCTTACTACAGGAAACCCATCCAAGTGCTGCTGATGCCACCTTCTGGTCAAACCAGTGGAGTGAAAACATCTTGTTCAGCCATGGAGCTCGTCACTCTGGGAGCAGCCCCTGGCTGCCTCCCGGAGATCGGGGCGGGGCTAAATGTGGGCGGGGTCAAACGTTTAGGGAGGCAGTCAGGGGTAGTTGCACTCTGCTGGTGCAGCTCTTTGCTTTCATGTCCAGGGAAGGTTGAGACTTTTCAGGCAGATGATCGGGGTCACTGGTTGGCAGTCGTGTTGAATGTTGATGAATCATTTGTGATATTAGTTAACATTAATGGATGTGCTTCTGTAGCCCAAAATAAGCTCATGCTGGGAAAAAAATAACTGATGTACTGTCTGGGTATGAACGATCATACAACACTCACCATGTATTATTAGGTGGTGACTTTAATCTTGTTGCAAATGAATGGCAGGATATATATCTCCTAGGAATAATATTAACCAGTGCAATCCTGCGCTGACAGAGTCAATCGATTCCAATGATTTAAGTGATGTACGGAGAGGAAAAACCTGGTGTTACTCAGTTCTCATGGATCACGCCTAATGGTACCAATATGTCCAGATTAGATCTGTGGTTAGGTTCAACCTTACTATGTGGATGTGTTTCACACACCGGTACTTCTATCTCAGCTGCACCTTTACCAGATCACAGTATCATTATTCTAAAATTAAACCCTGAAAATAAGACACGTTAGAAAAGATTATTGGAAACTCAATGCAGATCTTTTAACAAATGATAAATATGTTAATGTAGTCAAAGAGCTCTGCTGCAAAATCTGCAATGATGAAACAACGGGCAACCACACGAGTAGATGGGAATTTTTTTAATTTAAGGTTAGAGAATTTTCAATTACATTTGGTAAAATAAAAGTGACAACAAAAGGATTTAGAAAGAAATCTAATTCAAAATATTAATAATTGTTGCGTCAAACAGGTCATGACAGATGCTGATGAAGAATCCGTCCAATTATTACAAACTCCATTAGATGATTTATACAGAAAGCTCACGGAGCGTACGTTAGGGCTCGTGCAACGTGGCTAGAAGAGGATGAAAAACATACTTCTTATTTTTACAATTTGGAGAAACAGAGGCAAGAAAAAAACTCTGTAAATATGTTACTTGTAAATGAGAATTAATGCACAGATTACAAGATTATATCGGATGAAATATGTGATTTTTACTCGTATCTATACTCCTCAGCCTATTAGATCACTGTTTCTGTAGGGTTTTTTGACCAGACAGCCTCATATTCCAAAAACTGATGTAGTATTTAAAGAAACGTGTGACTCTGACAGGGCCAGATCAACACTTTTTTGTACCCTGGGCAACAATATTCAAGGGCTCCATCATCACGACCCAAGGATCACCATAATGTGGTCACATACAGAATATTTTACTGTAATATGCAGTAAATATACTCAATACTTGAATGCCTGACATCACGTAACCCGCTCAGGGTAACCTTTGACCCACCTCGTGTAGACTGACCAATGAGGAGAGGGTCTTAACTTGAGGCCCTCTCTTCATTGGTCAGTCTGCATGAGACTGACTCTCAACTGACATTCAGTCGTAGGCAGCGAAGCGTCTCTGTGCAGCGCAAAAGCCCGGGTGGACAGTTTGTTTAATGTAGGGTGACCATATTTCCATTTCCAAACAAGAGGACAGGGGATCTGTGCCTATGACGTCACACTATGGCAACGCCACACAAACCATGTTGGGACCCATTTTTTGTAAGAACTAAATTAATATCAGATTCTGCCAATAAAAGGGCTCTAAAACAATTCATATGTAAATATTTAGCATATTTAATGCAAAATCTCATTTTTCTGCTTTAGTGCTGCAACAAGGTTTTATTAATAATAAATTATTATACCTTTTGTTTTACTACAGCATCGGTAAGCTTCCTGTGCACAGATTATTAAGGATGCTTGTTTCAGCTGTGAGATTAGACGATAGGGTCAATGATAAAATAAGTTGTCACACACTCCATGGAAACTTTCAGAGAATCCACAAATAGTGGCTTTCAAATGGTTTTGTTACTTTTAGCAGGTTTAGAAAAGCAGCAGATGAGACAGCGTGTCTGATAATTTAGTTTTTCATCTGATAATATTAGAACATGTCAGTAATGTCTGAGGGGCTTTTATAAACACTGTATAACTAACACTACTGGAGAGGGTATGAATTACACAGAGGCTTCTGGGGAGCCCAGTTATGGGGGGGGGGGGGGGGGGGGCATTTTTGCCTTGGCCCCCAAAATGTGTTGAAACGGCCCTGGGTGTGTGACTGAGTTTTGAAGGAGATCTGAATTGTATCAGAAGTATAAATATTACATGTGTGTAACTTATTGTTTTATACAGGTAAAAACGTGTCGTGGAGATAAATCTACCTACATTTTACTTTGTTTTCTTGTTTTTATTGAACTATTTCCTGTCCTGTCTGTCTCTCATCTTCCTGCATCTCCTCTAAACTCTCCAGAAAATCTGCTGCCTGGATTCTTACTTTTTCACCTCATCAGTTACTTCTGAGCAGATCAAAGGGATCTCCTGACCGCAAAGCGGAGAGCGCGTTTCGATGCGACAGTGAGGTAACATCACCGCAGCACAGGTGATGAGCTCCGCAGTAGCAGAGCGCTTCAGGCACAAATAAGACAGAAAACAGAGGACATGTGCGGACATGAACGATCGTGTGTTCATCATAGTTTTTTGGTTGTGCCACTTTGAGAATGGACCGTGCGCTGGACGCAGCTGCCTGGAGCGCTGCGCAACAACGATCATCGCTCTGCCGCTCTCAGCGCTTTGTGTTTTATATCTGTGAAAGGCGCTATATAAATAAACTTTTACTTACTTACTCTGTGCTCTCTGCTCAGACGGGTCCATAAATGATGTAATAGAAAACATTTTATCTGGCTCCCCTGGACGTGTAGGATATACAGCTCCCCCATAATTTGATCCCTGCTCGTGGATGAAAACCGGACATTTTCATCATTACAAGAACCCCCGGACGCCCGGACAGAGAGTGAAAAGTGGACATGTCTGGGGAAAAGAGGACGTACGGTCAGCCTAGTTTAATATAAAGCCGGAGATTACAGATACAGTATTTAGCTCGTGCCCTTGCTGCCCTGGGGCCTGGGCCCTTTAGGGTTCATGGGCCCCTGGGGAATTGCCCAGTTGGTTATCCGGCCTTGTCCATAAGTGTCTTTACTTGAAAACCTCTCCAACTTTTGCTGCCTTTAAAAATGAAGTACTTATTTTGAAGAATCCTTAAAACATTGCAAATTAGACAAAACACATATCCTATTTGACTTTTTGAAACAGCTTTGTGAATAATGTTAATGTTTACAAATGCATAACAATACTTAAATGTGTCCTTTTTCCTTCTGTTTATTGACATGTTCTGATACACTTTGTACTTTTTCTCTACTTGATGACTGTTAAGTTCTTATCCTTTATATATACATTTGATTACTAATGGTTTGTTTACGCTGTATTGTCATAATTTCATAATTAAAAAAAAAAGGTCTGTCCGTCTGTTTTGCCGGTGACTTTTATTTTGAAGTCTCACCATGTTTGTTGACGTATTTCCTGTTAGCAAAATGAAAGCCGGTTATATCTGAAGGTTTCTCTCATAAACAGCTTCTCTGTGGCTGTGTTGGTCTGGCGGCTTTAGCTCCAGCTTGTGTAACGCCTCCCTGTTTCCCCTGTGACCTTGAAACCCGGTCAGTAAGTCAGAAAGACGTTTGTTTGGCGTTAGCTGAGCAGCCTAGCTAGCTCATTTGTTTACTTTAGTGTTTCCGGGTTGTCGGTGACTCCGTGTGTGCCGCGGTGCTGCTCAACAGTGCGTTAGAAAACACCCCCAGCCACCTACACGACTTTAACCCAGCAGCGTAATGAGACTCGCACCTTCTTACCGACCAGACCGGGGAAACCGGATAGATCCGCTCTGAAACCAACAGTAATAACTTGCTTTGAGTCCTTTTCTGGGATGTGGAGCAGAAAGAAGAGATGAGTGCCTCCTGGCTGCCTGAGCTGGTCTCAGGTCTGTGTCAGACCGAGGAGGGGAACCCTTTTCCCGTGTGGCAGGATGGAAACATCAGTCCCTGCTTCAACCAGCTGGTGCTCGGGGCCCTGCCCCATGCTGGCATGGCAGTGCTCAGCGCCTGCTATCTTGGGATGCCAAGGTGGGTCTGACATACTAGAAACAAATGACTTGTGGGTTTAGACATGTCAGTGTGCTTCCCATGTCTGTAATTATGCTTAAAAAGCTGTGATCGATGAACCGAGCCATTCTTATTCCTCCTCAGGAGTGAGCAGCTCCACACATCTCCTCCCTGTGGTTGGACGCTCAGACTGGTGACAGCTCTGCTGGTCGTGGTTCTCTTTGTGATAGACCTCAGCCTGGTCGGTGCCCTCCAGCAGCCGGACATGTATCTGGACATCCTAATGGACAGCTGCGGGGTCCTGGCTTGGATGGTCCACGGCAGTGCCATCGCAGTACTCATGAAGACTAGATTTAGGAGAACCAGTGGACCCCAGCTGCTGTTGATTACGACTCTGCTGTTGGTACCCAACCTTGTCATCAACTTGGTGATTTGCTGCAACAGACGTGACTGTTTAAGCCTCACAGAACCGTTTAAACTGATGAGATTTGTTCTTGCCTCAGCCCGAATGCTTCTGTTACTGGGTTACCTCCTCGCATTTGCTTTTCCCTGCATCAGTAATGCAGATTACACCCTGTATATTAATGCTGTGGATGGATCCCCTCTCCTTCCAGAGGATGTCCAGCTGGACACGGGTGAGATAGTCGCTGAGGATGGGAGCAGTTACCTCTCTCGACTCTTCTACCTGTGGTTGGATCCTCTCCTCAGAAGAGGCCAACGAGGGGAGCTGACCAGACCCACCCATGTGTATCACTTACCTCAGAAGCTTCAGACTAGTGCTGTTTGTCAGCACTTCCATCATTGTTGGGGAGCATGTCGACGAGGGACGGGAGTCGACGATCAGCAGGATAGCCGGTCCAGATGGGATGATGGAAGCCTCCCTAAAGGCTCAGGTCATGAGGAGGTGTTGGAGTTGGAAGGTGATGTGCGATTGCTGAGGGTCCTGCACAAGGCGTTTGGGTTGCGGTACTACATCCTGGGTGTGCTAAAAGTGATGGTTAACATGTCTAGCTTTGCAGGTCCCCTGCTTCTCAGCAGACTGGTGAACTTCATAGAAGACACAAAGGCCCCAGTCACCGAGGGTGTCTGGTGTGTCTTGGGGCTCTTTGGTATGACCCTCTTCAGTTCTGTTCTGCAGAACATCTTTGCTTTTGAAGTTTCCAAGGTGTGTTTGTCTGCGCGTGCCTCTCTGGTGTCAGCTGTTTATGGAAAAGCCTTGAGAGTTAGCAGCTGCAGCCTGGCGGGCTTCTCTTTAGGAGAGGTGGTGAACTTAATGAGCACAGACACTGACCGCGTGGTCAACTTCTTCAACAGCTTCCATGAGCTCTGGAGCCTGCCGTTTCGCTTTTCCATCACGCTCTACCTGCTCTACCTGCAGGTAGGTGTAGCGTTCCTTGGGGGGCTCTGTGTGGCACTGGTGCTGGTGCCATTAAACAAGTTCCTTGCCTCTCGGATCCTTAGCAACAACAAACACATGCTCAAGTGCAAAGATGACCGTGTTAAGGTGAGGCGCTGGACATCTTGTTTTTTATGCAATTTTAAAATATTGTACTTTGACTAATGGCTAAAAACAATAATTATTTAGTCTAACAGTAAAGTGAAATGTTGGTGAAAGTGGAACTTTTGCTGCATATATATATTTATTTGTTTTAAAGTTGATGACGGAGATTCTCTTTGGCATCCGTGTCATCAAATTCTACAACTGGGAGCCTCATTTCACCCAGAAGGTGTCTGAACATAGGAAACAAGAGCTGTCCTACCTCAGAGCCATCAAGTACCTGGATGCTCTGTGTGTGTACACCTGGGCTGCTCTGCCTGTCATCATCTCCATCCTCACCTTCGTCACCTACGTGTTGCTAGGACACCAGCTGACTGCAGCCAAGGTAGAAGCTCAGATCTTTGTGACGGCTTGTCTGCGTTAGTTTTAATTGTAGAACAGTCCAATATTTACCTAAACTTTAATTTTAAAATAAAAACGATCATATCAAACCTTTGTGATCACTCCCCCATCCTACCTTACCTGTGTCTGTCTCGTCATAGTCTTGGAAATCGGTGAGAAGGATGACCTGAAACGTTTTTCTTTCTAATAAGAAGTATTAAAAATGAAAGTATTATTCTTCAACCCTTCCACTGTCCTATCAGGTGACCCCTCTAGGACGTGGAGTGGTTAAACATGGTTGGGGTGAAGTGGTGCACTCCTAAAAAAGATGAAATGAAAAAGCACCTGGGGCCTATCTGACCCCATGAACAACGCAGCAGGTTAGAGTATTAGCTAAATGAAGCTTCACCGCCCTTTTTCCAGGTCTTCACCACGGTCGCTCTGGTAGGAATGCTGATCGTTCCGCTGAACGCCTTCCCCTGGGTGCTCAGTGGTATTCTGGAGGCCAAAGTTTCTCTGGAGCGAATCCAGCGCTTCATCGGACTGACGAACCAGGATCTGCTGGCGCACTACGCCCTGAGTAGGAGGCTTCATTTGTCTAAGTTTACCATATACCAAGTTTATTTAGAGGGCACATTATAAACCCACAGGAACAAGGATGCTCCATATTAAAGAGACTGAATGCAGCAGCTGACAAAGTGACACTAAGTTAGGTTAAAGCAACTCCGTAACAGTGAAATGACTAAAACGGCCAATAACACAGGAAAACACATTTGTTGGGTATTTTTAAATCCTGAAACTTAACCCTGAAATGAACCACACACAGGAGAAGAGTCGGTAGGTTTTATGTTGTGATGAGACAGCGGAGAGAGATGGGCCTCCGCCCTATCAACTCTGGCCTGTTCTCTCCACCACAGATGGTTTTATTGAAACACAGGCAAACAGAGACAAAGGAGATCCACCACTGTCCACACTTTAACCAGTAAACACTGTTGCTTCTATCTAAGGCGGGACCTTCTAAAAAGGAAGTCTCAAGTTACAGAGTTGCCTGCTGAAAGCCAAAAACTGCTGAGTCATTCAGAAACTCTGGACTCCTGTTGCCAGGCAGATTTTCCCCACAGATAAACATCAGGCTGCATTCCAGAGCTCAAGAGGAAGAGCTCTGTGGCTTACGTCACAATCATATGATTAACGTGATTACTAAAAGGAACATTAAAACAGTAATGCATTAAAACCCTTAACATATTCCCTCCTGAAATGTGACTTTTTGAGTAATAAAAGAACTTGAGAACTTTTATTTTAGAGAGGTGTTAAATAGAACCCTAGTAGAGATAAATGTAAAAAAAAATAGAATGCAATAAGTAAAAATAGAATATACAAAATAAAATTGAAAAATACATTTTCATACTAAAAGACCTGAGTAAGGTCTTAACAACCCAAAAATCAACCATAAAACCTAAGTAATTAGGAATTATGACATGCCTTACTCACCCGAGATTTAAAATGTCCAATCAACGTGAAGATTTTAGCTTAGCAATAAAGCAATAACCAGACATCACGGCCTATATGTTAGCTTGTGAGTAATTTAATATAGGTGTATCCTTGATTTATTAAGCTAAACTACACCAGTCTTCATCAGGAACCTTCTGTTAGATCAAAATGTTATTTAACATGGTATTAATGATCATTTTACCCACCATGGACCTAATACAAGAAAAGAATGCGTGCCATAAAACACATACGATGATGAAAAGTCTAAGGTGAGGAGGTGGACACGTGAATAACCGTCCCAATTTGCACTTGAATCTTCTTTAAGTCCGTCATTTCCTCCTACAGCTGCACAGAAGCCTCCTTCTGAAGCGAAGAGGAGGTCTAACGCCATTTGGTGTTCCATTGCCATGGTGCGAAGAGCTGCCTTCTCAGGATCAGATGACTGGGTCTTCGTGTTGGTGTGCTTTCTGAACTGTTGCCCTTGAAACCAGCTGAAACTGCATGGCACTTGTACTTTTTCTCCAGGGTGTTGTACCCCCCGAGTGCTCATGCCTCTTCTCTACGAGCCGGTCTGTGACACAGGGGGATGTCACATGTCCTGCGGCTTCACTTAGAGCCTGGATCCATCCTGACCTCAGTGTCTGACCTCTTCACCTCGTATCCTGCCCAGGCTTGATGCACCGCAGTGGTTCTCTGCATCAGTCACAGGCTGTGTGCTCAGGCCCTTGCACTTTGCTGCAGGTGTGTTTACGTAGGAGAAGATGGAGGAACTGGTGTTGAGGTCATCTGTGTCGATGTTGTCACTGATTTGAGCCAAGTCCTGAGCCGACTGACCCGCAGCATTTTTGGTGTTTTTCATCAGCTCATTTACGTCCTCCTCCATCCTGGACTGCTGGTCTTTGATCTCTGCCTCCATGGACTCTCGAGCTTTCACAGCTGCTGCACAGGTGAACTCAGACTCCTCCAGCTGGTTCTTTAGTTGGGCGATTTCCCTCTTACTGGGTGCGTTGTTCTTGATGTGGCCCAACAGGATCTGGGCATCAGCCAGGACAGCCTTTGTCCTCCTCAGGCGCAGCTTGGCCTGCTCCAACATCTGGATGGTTCCTGCCTGCTCGTCCCAGCTTTACTGCATTTCCATGATGTGCAGAACGGCTCTTTCGTTTTGGCACGGCGGAAGCACAAGACCTTCTTTAGAGACTTAGTGGTCTTTTTGAAGAAGTTTCACAGAGTCGACCATACTCTCACTTGGAACCGGGGGCCGCAACAGTGTGGCAAGGTGGAGCAATTAACTTGCTTTCGCCCGTCGGATTCCCTTTCCTGCGTACAGCGAGCATGGAAGCTACACACAGTCTCATTCATGGTTAGAGATATTTGCAGCTAATGTGGGATTTTCTTCAGAGTCAGAGCACAAAGTTGCACTCATAACAACTTGTGTTGAAACCGGGCACTTTAACAGTCCGGTTAGACATTTTATACCACTTGTTGTCGAGAGGTGAGTGGTGTTCGATGAGGGCGCGTTTCCTTCTGTGCCCCTCAGGTCCGCTCTAGGACCAGAAGCAGAGCGTACTCCACCACCAGGAACCACAGCAGGTCAGCCATGGCCATGTCATGCTGAAAACCCCCATGTCACTGGTGGCACCTGTTAATCAAGTTCCTTCTGTACCTTATAATGTGGCAGGTGAATCCACCAGAGGCGCTCAGCGATCTTTACTGCAGCGGGAGCGATCAATAAGACCTGAAAGGGGTCCTCCCACCTGGGACTTGTCCCGTTTCTTCTTTTGACTGCTTTTATGAACACCCAGTCCCCATGTTCAGTAAGCTGTTGCTGTTCCTGTAAAACAGGTAAAGCAGAGCAGACCATTTGCTCCCAAAACTTCTCTAGTATACAACACATATTTTCATGTAATCTGCTAATACAAGTTCTTACTTAACTTTGTTGATGTCTGGTTAGCAGAAAGAAAGTCGGTAAGGTTTGCCATAAATGATTTCAAACAGAGTTAACCCATTATTTGTTGATGTTATGCCCATGTAGAGTTAGACTAGATCTAAACAAGCCAGGCCTTTTGTTTCTTCCATTTCTTGGCAATTTTATAAATCGTATGTTGTAAAATTCTTGTGAAATGCTGCTGTTACATGTGTACTGTTCCTCCCCCCATTTCTGATAAGATGGTTAAGAAATGTGAGCACAGGATAAAACACACCAGGTCTAAAATGCAGAGGAACCGGGCCACCCTCCAAAACCTGACGGAGACCTTCAGCTCGGCCTTACACCGGGCTAGGGGTGGGCCTGCCGTGCATTCCTGAGTTTGGGGCAGCAAAGGAAAAAGCCTTCTCCCCACGAGAGTTGTAGTGAATCTTAGGGACACACAGGAGCCGGTGATCCGCAGAGCGTATAAATCAGGGAGGGGCATAGGGTGTGAGCAGTTGGGACAGGTAACAGGAGTTGGACCATTTGGGGCTTTTTAAACAACAGATAAAAGATTGAACCGAGCCTGGTGGAGTGCAGGACGCCTGTATGAATCAGCCGGGATGGGAGTAACGCAACCGCGTCCAGAAGTGTTGCTGAGGAATCTAACTGCAGCGTTCCGCCCTTCCTGGAGACTCATAAGAGACAATCCATTTAGCATGAGAGCGTGGACGCCAGGCTCTAAATGAGGTCTCTCAAGAATGGACAGGAACAGAGTTATACGTAAATCTTTACCGTGGCTTTGGTTTGTGAAGTCATGGACACATCGGTCGAGTTCACCTCCAAGCGGGTCTCACGGGGTTTCCTGTTTAGGAAGGGGCGAGAGGGAAGCCTGCAGGCCATCCTGTAGATGACGCATACCTGTTGGGAGGCGTCTGCTGACATGCTTGTAGTTGTTTTGAAGGGTAATGTGCTTTAAAATAGAAAGCAAGATAAAAGAGAACAGTTTTTACAACATCTTAAACCTTCAGTGCTGTTTGACTCATTTCCATACGGTTTGTGCTTAGTGTCTCCAGAAGACAACCAGACATCAGTCCTGCTGAGCCGGGGGACGTTCTCATGGCAGGGACCTGATGATGGTAACGAGTGTGGACCAGACGGCGGCGTTGGAAAACAAAGTCTACTTTTACACAATCTAAACCTACGTGTGACCAAGGTACAGTTTAGTTTAAGATCCCCATCAGCTACTGCAGTCGCAGCCCTTCCTGGCGTCCGCAGTGCTTTTGTCCTTAGATGGACGGGTTTGTTTTTCCTGCAGGGCTAGCGCTATTCATCTTATTTTAATAATAAAAATAAGGCAGTTGATCACCATGATATAAGATGCATCATCATACATGGTTGCTTAGAGACGAGATGCTAGTTTGTGTTTTACTTCAGAAGCTGAGAAAGGTTCAGCATTAGTGATGGCTTCTGTCTCGTCCAGGGCTCGCTGGTCGTGGTCGTGGGGAAGGTTGGCTGTGGAAAGAGTTCCTTACTAGCTGCTCTAACTGGGGAACTCAGAAGGTACCATCATCTCCAACATTTAGCCAGCGAGAGAGAGCTGATGCCTCAGAACAGTTTTAGTGAAGCAGCCCAGGTAAAAGGACTTATTACAGGTTAGAGGACGGCTTTGTAGTGGAACCGTAGAGCAGGGGCCTCATTCATCAAGCTAGCTTACGCACAAAACGGGTCGGAAAACTGCGTAAGCAACTTTCCACGCAAACTTTGGGATTTATGAAAGAAAACGTAGCAGAAAAATGTGCACAACTTTAAGATGACTAAGGACCTGACTTACACACATGCTGGACATGGAGAGCACCTGCAGTGCTGCTGCTGAGAAGGATAAAGTTATGAAATCCTGCAGCATCTTCACTTGTACCGCTTCGTTTTCACACAGAACAAGACCCCCCCCCCCACCCACACACACACACACACACACACACACACACACACACAGCCTGAAGGCAGAATACGGAATGCAGAATATCAGCAGGGGGACAGATTGAGACAGAATACCATGCGTGTGTGACAGTGTGTGTCCTGTCACTGTGACCTGATTGATCATGCGCCCTGGCCACCTGTACAGGGGTGATCTGTGTTTGGCTGACTGGTTAGTGCACGTGACTTTCACCCGGGAGTCTGGGGATCAAATCCTGATAGGACCATTTTTCATATCCACCACAGATCTCTCTGAAGAAGTCAGCATTGACGGCTTCAGCAACGCTGTGCCACTCTGTGGATTTTCTCTTATTTGTTTTGCAAAAGCACTTCCTGTCATTTCTCCACCTCACCCACAGGTACCTCACCCTCTGCTTGTGTGAAATAGCGCTTCCTTGATCTGCCTTGATCTACGGTCGCCATGTCATTGGTGGAGCGCTGCAACAGCCGGCTTATGTATGTGCATGAGATCCACAAGGCACTTTGCATTGACCATTTATGGCAGTAAGTGACCAACCGACTCAGTGGCCTAGTGGTAGAGTGTCCGCCCTGAGATCGGGAGATCAGGGGTTTGACTCCTGGTCGGGTCATACCAAAGACTTTGAAAAAATGGGACCCAATGCCTCCCTGCTTGACACTCAGCATTAAGGGGTTGGATTGGGGGGTTAAACCACCAAATAGTTCCCGAGCGCGGCTTGTCTGCAGCTCACCGCTCCCCCACGGGATGGGTCACATGCGGAGAATAAATTTCACCACACACCTGTGTGTGTGTGACTACTAAATGGGACTTTAAGTGGGCGTGGTGAGGGCGGGATGTGACTAAAATGCAGCTGAGAAACATTCTGGTTAGTCTCTGATTTATGAAGTGGAGATTGCGTGCAGCTGTGCGTCCTCCATGTTTGATAGATCACACACCTGCTTTTTGCTGAGCTTAAGTACGGTTTTAGTAAGGATTCTACGCCATGTTTGATAAATGAGACCCCAGGTCCTCACGATGTTCTAAAGAGATTCAGCTCCAACCTCAAGGTCCAAAAACACTAAACAGATTTCACCAGGTCTTTATTTTTGCCAAGGTCTGGTGCACTACTGCGGTCTGTAGTTTGAATGAATGAATAAATGCCTTGTGAGACGTTTCTGTGGGAAGAAAAGCTCCATCGCTCCCGTTTCGTTAAGTAAAGGTTGGTCGGAGGAGAGAAGCACAAAAAATGGCTGAAATTTGAGTCTTACTCGTTAAAGCCTCGCCAAGAAACTTTTGTGAGCTCAAATGACCGTCTACAGGGTTAAGAGATGTCACTCAGACCACCACCGCCCTCTGTGGCCAGAATACCGCATTTGCGACTGGCAGGCCACTTGCTTGGGACTATCAACAGATTGTGCTGACATACCTGACGCTGCAGTCTGCTTCCAGCACGTTTCCTGCATGTTTTAGGTCGTGATCGCTCCCGAAGACTGTGAGGAACGCTGCGAGACGTTTCAGTTAGATTAAGTTGGACATCGGCTTTGATCACGGGGAGTCGATAACGGACACGAGGGGGTGCTAAAATCAAGCTAAACCGCCAAATGTGCTTTTAATATTCATGTCATGCAAACGTCTCTCCTCTGATTGGCTAACAGTAACTCGACTAGCGCGACTCTTCTGCTGCTTCCATTCACTTTTCTGCCTTGGGTAAAAAACGTGCAACACTGATGTTTTATCTCCACTAATTTTTCACAAGCCCAAACGTCTTCGTTATGTTATGATAACGATTCACTATTAGCCGATAAACCCTCTGTTCTCTCCTTCCTGTGGGCGGTTCTTAGCTAAGGTGGGCGGGGCCATGAATACCCATTTCCGGTGACATAGAGACAGGCTTTTTTGACCCAATTGTTTTCTCGTCTTTTTGCTTTCTGTAGCTAGTGCACAAGGTTTTCACAATCAGCATGAGTGACCGATCGTATTACACAAAGAACAAGTGTTGCACAGTTTCTCAGTGAATCAGGTGGCTGGGCTCTCCCTTAGAGATAGGGTGAGAAGCTCGGTCATCCGGGAGGGGCTCGGAGTAGACCCGCTGCTCCTCCACATCGAGAGGAGCCAGTTGAGGTGGCTCAGGCATCTGGTCAGGATGCCTCCTGGACGCCTCCCTGGTGATGTTTTCCGGGCACGTCCAACCGGGAGGAGACCTAAAGGTAGACCCAGGACACGGTGGAGGGACTATGTCCCTCACCTGGCCAGGGAACGCCTTGGGATTCCCCCGGAGGAGCTGGCCCAAGTGGCTGGGGAGAGGGAAGTCTGGGCCTCTAGCCTTAGGCTGCTGCCCCCGCGACCCGACTCCGGATAAGCAGAATGGATTATTTACGTCCTGACATGTGAAAGCCTCCAAATGAAAGATGACAGACTTTCTTTTTTCCTTGACTATACAGGTGCTGGCCAGTAAATTAGAATATCATCAAAAGGTTGAAAATATTTCAGTAATTCCATTCAAAACGTGAAACTTGTACATTATATTCATGCAATGCACACAGACCAATGTATTTCCAATGTTCATTACATTTAATTTTGATATTTATAGGTGACAACCAATGAAAACATCAAATCTGGTATCTCAGAAAATTAGAATATTCTAAAGGCCAATGAAAAAATGTTTGTTTCTCTAATGTTGGCCAACTGAAAAGAATGAACATGAAAAGAATGTGCATGTATAGCACTCAATACTTAGTCGGGGCTCCTTTTGCCTCAATAACTGCAGTAATGCGGCGTGGCATGGACTCAATCAGTCTGTGGCACTGCTCAGGTGTTATGAGAGCCCAGGTTGCTCTGATAGTCGTCTTCAGCTCCTCTGCATTGTTGGGTCTAGCGTATTGCATCCTCCGCTTCACAATACCCCATAGATTTTCTATGGGGTTAAGGTCAGGCGAGTTTGCTGGCCAATCAAGGACAGGGATACCATGGTCCTTGAACCAGGTGCTGGTGGTTTTGGCACTGTGTGCAGGTGCCAAGTCCTGTTGAAAGGTGAAGTCTGCATCCCCATAAAGTTGGTCAGCAGCAGGAAGCATGAAGTGCTCTAAAACTTCCTGGTAGACGGCTGCATTGACCCTGGACCTCAGGAAACAGAGTGGGCCAACACCGGCAGATGACATGGCACCCCACACCATCACTGACGGTGGAAACTTTACACTGGACCTCATGCAACGTGGATTCTGTGCTTCTCCGCTCTTCCTCCAGACTCTGGGTCCTTGATTTCCAAAGGAAATGCAGAACTTGCTTTCATCAGAAAACATAACTTTGGACCACTCAGCATCAGTCCAGTCCTTTTTGTCCTTGGCCCAGGCGAGACGCTTCTTGCGCTGTTTCTTGTTCAAGAGTGGCTTGACACACGGAATGCGACACCTGAATCCCATGTCTTTCATGAGTCTCCTCGTGGTGGTTCTTGAAGCGCTGACTCCAGCTGCAGTCCACTCTTTGTGGATCTCCCCCACATTTTTGAATGGGTTTGTCGTCACAATTCTCTGCAGGGTGCGGTTATCCCTAGAGCTTGTACACTTTTTTCTACCACATTTTTTCCGTCCCTTCGCCTGTCTGTTAATGTGCTTGGACACAGAGCTCTGCGAACAGCCAGCTTCTTTAGCAATCACCTTTTGTGTCTTGCCCTCCTTGTGCAAGGTGTCAATGATTGTCTTTTGGACAGCTGTTAAGTCAGAAGTCTTCCCCATGATTGTGGTGCCTTCAAAACAAGACTGAGGGACCTTTTAAAGGCCTTTGCAGGTGTTTTGAGTAAATCAGCTGATTAGAGTGGCAGCAGGTGTCTTCTATATTCAGCCTTTTCAGAATATTCTAATTTTTTGAGATACCAAATTTGGAGTTTTCATTAGTTGTCACTTATGAATATCAAATTTAAATGTAATGAACATTGGAAATACATTGGTCTGTGTGCATTGCATGAATATAATGTACAAGTTTCACGTTTTGAATGGAATTACTGAAATATTTTCAACCTTTTGATGATATTCTAATTTACTGGCCAGCACCTGTAAATAATGCCTTTTTGACAGATCTGGACTCAGTTTGTTTTCTCTCTTTTCCTGCAGACTCAGTGGAGTGCTTTATGTTGCAAACAGAGAGGCTGGCTTTGGTCTAGTCTCTCAAGAGCCATGGATTCAGCATGCATCAGTGCAAGACAACATCCTGTTTGGCAAAGACTACGACGCTGACTTTTATCAGGCTGTGATCGAGGCCTGCGCGCTCTCAGATGACCTCGGCGTATGGATGCATGCTCCGGGATTGTTCACATGTTGAATTGGTTAAACTTTAAGGCTCTATATGTCTTGTTTGTGTTGGCAGGTTTTACCGAATGGTGACCAGACAGAAGTGGGAGAGAATGGAGTCACCCTGAGTGGCGGCCAGAAGGCGCGGCTGGCTCTAGCCAGAGCAGCTTACATGGTCAGTTCGAGAACGGGCAGACATCACAGCAAGGACAACATTAAGTGGGTGGTTTGACAAAAGTGACTTGATCTTGGGTAGACAGCCGAGTCAGACCTATGGAGCATGCTCCTGATGTTCAGGTGTGCCCCTGACGTGTGGGACCTTGGGATCTCTTTCAGAATAAAACCACACGTATGTTCAAAACGTGTGCTATCAGTCTCACACCAAACTCGTACACACACTTCTGGGCCAATCAGAGGGACTGTGACTGAGCTACAGGCCTCCTGATGGAGATGATAGGACTGGAACAACGAACGCTGTGCTGTGAGCGATGTGTGATCATATTCTAGAGGGGTGAAAGGAACATTTGGATTTTCTGACACAAATGTCACCGTTGCCATATTTTAAAATATTGTAACTATTTAAATATCGCGCTTGTCTCCTAAGACTATTACATGTGATCAACAAGGAAAACCCAGTGGATCGGCAGCAGTGGCTGAGTCGTATGAGGGAAGTGGAACAGTGGACGTACAGAAGCACATCAGTGCTGTGCTTGTCCGTTAGATCCATCCCAGTGTCTCCCCTGCTGATGCACACACAGTGATACAAACGGTGTTAGCATGTAAGGCTAACGTTTTTCCACGTGCTTCTCTCCTTTCATGTCGTGTCTTCTGTGACCACATCAGAACAAGGACATCTACCTGCTGGATGATCCTCTAGCAGCAGTAGATACAGATGTGGCTGAACATCTGATGAAGAAGTGTGTGATGGGGCTGCTCAAAGGAAAAACCCGAATCCTGTCTACACACCGGATAGAATTTGTGCAACAAGCTGACATGATGGTCCTCATGGACAACGGAACCATCATAAAAACAGGTAGCAGCCTGAACCTGTGTGCTATGGACTTACATGATCATGTGACCTTTAGGTGGCAAGTAACAGAACAGCTCCACCCAAAAGACAACTTTTAACATGAAGTGAGCTGCAGCGATCCAGTCCAGAGGCAGTACACGCATTAGTCAGTCTTTAAAGAGCAATCGTGACACAAATTATTGTTTTCTTGGCCAACAGCAGATGGGGCAACTGTGGTTTAGGGTTTAGTAGTTCACCCAGTGGGTTCAGCCAGGTGGGTTGCCGGTTCCAGGGGTCCTGGAGTGCGTGGGAGGATGCAGGAGTACCCGGAGAGTGCAGCAGTGCTAACCACTGTGCAGCCTGACTTAGAAAAGCACCATACGAACGTGCAATATTAATATTATTACAGAGAATTTCACCGTCTCTGTGACCTAGCTGGACAGCATTTAAAGGGGCATTATGGAAGTGGACAGCCAAAACATGTATAGAAATAATAAATGTCTTCTTCATACATTCTCCTGCAATGCCCTGGTCCTGTAGAATGAGCCCTGGCATTTTTACTGTGATTGCCTGTTTTTCTGTAAAATCACAGAAAAAGAGAGATGCTCGGGTCGAGCAGGCTGCTTCATGCGCGTTCACGCTCAGGCATCGCCCGTAGCATTTGCTATCCGTAGCTTTAGCAGCAGAGAGAGAGGCAGTGCCACTTTGTCGCTGTTCCTAACGCCTAGTGACAAAGCTAGCTACATTTCTGAGGCCCCTTAGCTACTTTCTGTAGAACTTTCTTCTAGATATTTCCTGCTAATTAGCAACAAAATAGCCATTTTCACTCCGAACCGTTCTTTGGTCTGACGTTGTTTCAGCTGTCATCAAGGATATAAACTAGGGATGTGCGAGTACACCACTATCTGTATCTGTATCTGTACTCGAAATGGGCGTGTCATAACCCGGAAGTGGGTGTGGTTTAACCGGAAGTGGG